TCAGGACAGGAACTCAAACAGGGCGGGAACCTGGAGGCAGGAGCTGATGTAAGGCCATGGAGGGGAGCTGCTAACTGGCTTGCTCCAAATGGCTTGCTCAGCCTGAGTGCCTATAGAACCCAGGACCACCAGCCAGGGGTGACCTCACTCACAGTGGACTGAACCCTCTAACATCAATCACTAATTAAAATTGTGGTCTGCCTGCAGTCTGGTTTTATGGGGCATTTCTCAATGGAGGCTTCCCTTCTTTCAAATGACTCTAGCTTGTATCAAGTTGATATAAAACCAGCTAGCACACATTGCTCAAGTTATGTGATTTACAAGATTGAAAGACTGACTAAACCTTGGGGCCGAGGATGTATCTCAGCTAGCAAAGGGTTTGCTAAGCACATATGGAGTCCTGGGTCCAATTCCCAGCACCTCACAAATTGAGGCTGGGGACTCAGTCCTATATTCCCAGAACTGAGGAGGTGGAGGCAGGATGATCAGACATTCAAGGATGTCTTCCACTCACCACACATTAGGGGCCAGCCTGAGACCTTGTCTCAAAAAGAGAAAAAAGTATTAAACAAAGCTTAAAATGTAAGTGAAATTTAAAAATTAAGTGTGTGTGTGTATGATATGTCTAAACACACACACACACACACACATATTCTGGGCTCTAGGAGGGCACGTGACTGTAGGAGCAGGTCCCTGGGCTGGTTTAAATGAGAAACATCACCAAAGGTTCATGTGTTTGACTACTTGCTCACAGGAGCTTTGGCTGGAGATCCGTGCCCCAAGGCACGTTTTCCCTGGTGTCCCTGTACCAGAGGAAGCCTCTCCCCAGTGGTGCTAATCCCAGTCTTCAACTTCCTGCTTGCTCTTTTCACCTCCGAACTGCAGTTTTCATTTCTTTCAGCCCTGCTTGTTGCTCTTATTATCTATGGGGCTACACCAGGATTATCAGAAATAGCCAAGCCGCAGACTCGGCCAACGCTAGGCTATCTGGAAATTTCCCTCTGTCAAAGAAGTTAGTCCATCACGCTCTAATTCAGCTTCATGTCCATTCTCAGAACATGGGCAGAATGCAGCCAGATTCTTCACCAAAATATCACAGGAATGGTGTCTAGACAGAGTCCTTGTTCCCCTCTGAAACCTCCTGAGCTGGGTCTCCGCTGTCTGCACTAAAGCCGTCCACGCTTGAACTAGAAAGCGGCTACATACAAACGCTGATTGCAACCAACCCCAAGATGGCAGCCACACCCGGCACTGTTGTTCCCATGGCCACAGCTTTGGAGGTTAAAAAAAAAAAAAAAGCAAGAGTAAGGGAACCATGAGTTCTTCCTCCATGGTTGCAGGTAACCATGGCAACTTGTGGCTATCTATGAGTCTCTTCAAGGAGACACTGAGAAGCCATTGCCAGAAGCTGTAAAGGTAAAGCGTTGAGTTGTGGTGGAGACCCCCAAGATGTTAGAGTTGCCACAGCCATGAAACATCTGCCAGTCAGAGCTAAGAAGTGGAACCAGCCAAAGAGAGAGGAATGTTACAGGCAGCTTGGGGAAGAAGCCATTTGAGCCCTTTGACACTGAGGGCCCAGAGAGTAGATACAGGCATACAGAATTGTGGGGGGTGACTTTTTTCGGAGGGTTTGTTTGGCTTTGGTCCAATCTTTCCTCACTATGCCCCCATTTCTCCCTAGTGAGAATGCATACATCCAGGTAGTTGTCTGTTGGAAGTATATGATTTGTTACTTTTTTTTTCTTTTATAGGGGGATCACTACTAAGAAATTACCTTAACATCCCATCCCTGACTTCAAGCTCTACTATAGAGCTATGGTAATAAAAACAGCTTGGTATTGGCATAAAAACAGACAATAGATCAATGGAATCGAAGTGAAGACCTTGATATTAATCCACACACCTATGAACACCTGATTTTTGACAAAGAAGCCAAAATCATACAATGGAAAAAAGAAAGCATCTTCAACAAATGGTGCTGGCATAACTGGATGCCGACATGTAGAAGAATGCCAATAGATCCACATTTATTCCCATGCACAAAACTCAAGTCCAAATGGATCAAAGGCCTCAACCTAAATCCAGTTACACTGAACTTGCTAGAAGAGAAAGTGGGAAGTAGCCTTCAATGCATGGGCACAGGAGACCATTTCCTAAATATAACACCAGTAGCACAGACGCTGAGAGCAACAATTAATAAATGGGACTTCCTGAAACTGAGACGCTTCTGTAAAGCAAAGGACATGGTCAACAAGACAAAATGGCAGCCTACAGGATGGGAAAAGATCTTCACCAACCCCACATCTGACAGTGACTGGTCTTCAAAATATATAAAGAATTCAAGATACTAGACATCAAAATACTAAGGAACCCAATTTAAAGATGGGGTATAGGTCTAAACAGAGAATTCTCAACAGAAGAGTCTCAAATGGACAAATGACATTTAAGGAATTGCTCAACATCCTTAGTCATCAGGAAAATGCAAATCAAAGTGACTCTGAGATATCTCACACCTGTCAGAATGGCTAAGATCAAATACACTGGTGACACCTTATGCTGGAGAAGATGCAGAGTAAGGGGAACTCTCCTCCACTGCTGGTGGGAGTACAAACTTGTACAGCCACTTTGAAAATCAGTATGGTGGTTTTTCAGAAAACTGGGAATCAATCTGCCTCAAGATCCAGCAATATCACTCCCGAAAATATACCCAAAGAATGTACAATCATACCACAAAGACATTTGCTCATCTATGTTCATAGCAGAATTATTTGTAATAGCCAGAACCTGGAAACAACCTAGATGTCCTTCAACCAAAGAATGGATAAAGAAATTGTGGCACATTTACACAATGGAGTATTGCTCAGTGGTAAAAACAATGACATCTTGAAATTTGCAGGCAAATGCATAGAACTAACAAAAAAACATCCTGAGTGAGGTAACCTAGACCCAGAAAGACAAACATGGCATCTTGTCACTCATAAGTGGATAGTAGATGTAAAACAAAGGACACAGAGACGACAATCCACAACCCCGGGGAAGCTAACTAAAAATGAGGACCCTAAGAGGGACACACATGGAGGGTGCCAGGAAAGAGAAATGGTTAAGCTCTCCGGGGCAAACTGGGGAGTAGAAGTGGGGGGGGGGAAGAGTTGGGAAAATGAGGGCTTGAGATGGCCTGAGTTGGAGAAGGGATGGAGAGGGAGAACAATGAAGGAAATATCTTGACAGAGGGAGCTATTGTGGGTTAGGGAGAAACCAGGTACTGGTGAAATTCCCAGGAACCCACAAGGATGACCAAAGACTCCTAGCAATAGTGGAGAGGTTGCCTGAACTGGCCTCCCCCTATAATCAGATTAGTGACTGCCATAATTGTCATCATAGACCCTACATCCGGTAACTGATGGAAGCAGATGCAGTGACCCATAGTCAAGCACTGCGCTGAGCTCCTGGAGAGCTGAAGAGAGGGAGCAGGGATCAATCATATGAGCAAGGGGGTCAAGATCATGATTGGGAAAACCATGGACAGCTCACGGACTCTGGACTGACAGCTGGGGATCCTGCATGGGCCCAAACTAAGCCCTCTGAATGTAGTAGAGTTGTGTAGCTTGATCTGTTGGGAGGGGGGCTGGCAGCGGGACCAGAACTTATCCTAGGTGCATGAACTGGCTTTTTGGAGCCTATTCCTATTGTGGGATAGCTTGTTTAGCCTTGATACAAGAGGGAGGGACTTGGTCTTGCCTCAATTTGGTATCCAGACTTTATTGACTCCCCAAGGGAGGCCTTACCTCCTCTGAGGATGGATGGGGGTGGGAGGAGGGGAGGGAGGAGCGGGAGAAAGGAGGGAGGGGGAACTGGTGCTAATATGTAAAATTTAAAAATAAAAAAAATTGCCTTAAGTATCAGAAGACTTTGGACTTTTGAAGTGTTAAGATTGTTAATGACTATGTGGGGACTTTTGAAGTTTGACTCTAAGTATTTTGCATTATGATATAACCATGAAGGGTGTCAGAGGCTATATGTGGTGGCTTAAATGAGAAGTATCTCTCATGGGGCAATGTGTTTGAACACTTGCCTCCCTGTTGGTGGTGCTGTGTGGGGAAGCAATGAAACCCGTAGGAGATAGAGCATTGCTGGAGGGAGGGTGTCACTGGGGGTGGTCTATAGTCTCACCTCCCTCCCTCCCTCTCTTTCCCTCTCTGCCCCCGCCCCCATATGTAGATTACACTGTGATCAGTCAGCTTCCGGCTCCTGCAACTATAAGCTCCTTGAGTTGCTTTTGGTCATGATGTTTCTATTGCAGCAGTGAAATGATGCCGCCCTACACACGCACACAGGAACACTGGGCAACAGCCTCACAGACGACCCAGTGAGTCCTGTGTTTCCACGGCTCTTTTGTTCCACGGAACTCAAGAGCCAGTCCTTGTTGCCCAGGTATCCACTGGCTGGCCTACTCAGAGCTTACACCACACAGGAGAGAGTCAAATCTCCTCCCTCCCCACCATCTTTCTTCCTCTTCCTAAGAGCTCAGTCTATGGTCTGTTTCCCGGGAGAAGGAAGGAAAGCAGGAGGGTGGGAAGGGAGGCATGAGGGATAGGATGGGAGAGAGCAAGGGAAGGAGGGCACTTGCAAGTCCCACCCCAAAGAAAGGTCAAGCAATTAACTCTGACTAAGATACTTGTCTTTTCTGAGCTCCTAAGGTGTTCACTTCCCTGAGACGTGCCCTCATTTTTGCCATCCGGCCATCCAACTTGGAACATACACAAAGGGTCTCAATCCACATGTTAAGAACCACTGGACTGAGGTCAGTCCCAAGAGACAGGTTTAGTTACTCCAAGACCCACCTATTATTTATTACACAGCACCCCATGCCCATCATCCCCTCACATGTGCCCACTTGCCGCGGACCGTCCCTCTCGGAGACCACCACCCACGGGAGAACAGGGTGAAGGATAGGATAGTCAGGATACGATGCAAGGGAAATGACAGACAGACACACTGTGTAGTGAAAATCTGCTGCAACTTTACTTCTGCAAAGCTTCAGTTTTTGTACAAAACAGATCAAAGAACTTGGCAGGTGCATTACATCACCCCACTCAGGGTTCCAGACATAAATCAAGATTAAGCATAACCAAAATAGAGCTTCTTCTACGTGCTCCTTTCTACGTGTTCCCCCTTCCGTGCTCAAGATGTTGGCAAGGACTTTTAGTTTTGTTTTGTCTTTTAGAATTCTGTCTCACACCATTATTTACTTTCTACCGTGGGTGACTAGTTCTCAGGGTCCTGTGTTTAGCTTTCCATCTATATAGTTTTTATTCTTTGTTCCATATCTCCTAATAGTTTTCTCATTTTCTCATGATAGTTCTTATACCAATATATTAAAACTAGTCTCATGTTATCAATAATTTCCTTTCTTTCCTTCTTATTATAAAGACTCCAGGGTTTCTGAGATCTAGCTAATCTTTTCATAAAGGGGAATTTTCTCTAACTCTCCTTTTCTTCTCTAAATCTGATTCACCTTGATGATTCCCTCGTAACATATTAACCTTAGCCGCTTCTGTTTCATAAATAATAAAGTTTCCCAGGCTCATGTGGCGTGGGGCATACTTCAGTTCCTCAAGGACTGCTTTATTGAACAGTGGAGCCGAGCCAAGGACGTACTTTGATCTCTTGGTAAGCGGTCAGCTATAAACAAGAAAGTTAAGAAATACAGAGAAAGATCAGGCAAGGTGTTAGGAGGGCTCGCTCTCAGGGCCATCTCCAGATACGAGATTTGCCTAGGGCATCAGGTCCTCTCTGGACTGCTGATTGCCAGGGGGACCACCTGGGGCTTCGCTCCAAGAAGCTCTAACCCCAATCCTTCAGCAGGCAAAAGCCAGCGCAGAGGCATTTTGTCACTACACGGCAGTCACTGCTGTGGACGTGGCACCCACTGACTCTTCTTTCTGGCACAAACGAGCAGCGTGGGGACACGCCAGCTCGATCTTTTTGAACTTTCCTGCCTCTAGTGTGAGTCCAATTGTTTCCTTTAGAAATTACTAGTCTCCAGTGTTGTGTCATATGCAAACAAACTAAGATCACAGGTCATCTGCCCTGAGTCATGTCTCAATAAATCAATTCACCAGACACCAGTGGCACATTTTCCAAAACAGTCTATGCATCAGCTTAACTCACCCAATGTCCAACTAGACATAAATTCCACGTGGTGCTTTCTGCCTCAGTGGACTCCAGGTACGGGTACCTCCTGGAGCCAAGGAAGGGACAGGGGGTGACATAGATACAGGAGCAAGAACTGAGGCTGGGTTCCCCAGGAAAGGGAGAAGCCAGGCTGGAGGATAAGCCTAGGTCCTATGAAGTACTGACTTCCTAGATTATTCTAGATGTGACCAAGGAAATCCAGCTGACCTTCCTAGTAAAATGGGAATGACCTAGTCCTGCCGAAAGGACTAGCGGTAGGCTTTGGGGGATACGCTAGGAAAAGTCAGCAATGACTCAGCAGGAATGGCAAATGGGCTTCAAGCCTACCCAGTGAGCCCCAGGGTGAGAGCAGTTGGTCTCCCTGTGCCCTGTCATTTCTCTCCACATTTTTCTGAGACTGCCCCGGAAACTGCTTGACCCTCCCAGGGCTGTGAGCAAAGGTAGCTCCTCCATTCTATCTATACAAATCAATATGAGCATTGGGAACACCTTCCTGCTCCCTCGAGCCATGTGACTATGCGGTAGTTCTAGAATAACTACAGCCAGAACCTACAGGAAGCCCAAGCTTAGGGTGAGAGCTCAGCAGAGGGTCCTGACCAGAGAAGCACACAGCTGGGCATGGGCTCCTCAGAGGCTGAAATAGGGATTCTAGAAAGTCAGTGTCCTCTATACCATAGTCCCCAGTCTAAGGGCCATGATGCTGGAGGGGGAGAAGGGGGAGGAGGGACAGAAGGGACCAATGGGCCCTTGACTCTGAACCATCATCCACAGGTATTCTAACAGGGTGACTGCAGCCCTTCCCAAGGGCTTGGCTGTATAATGCTGAGTAGTGGCTGACACTGGGGCCTCAAGTGCTTTGCAGTGTCTCTGATAACCCATTCCCGCTTCTCCAGGAAGCTCAGCGAGGCTTTGCCTGCATCGTCCTTAACTCCCCATTCATTCCATCAGCATTCAACACTCAAACAGAGGCACAGAAAACCGTGACAAAAGCAAAATAAAATACGAAGGCAGCATTCTGTTCAATAAGATTTTTTCTGAAGATGCAACTTCCTCCTACTTGCTCTTAGGCAGGTTTTGCCAAAAGATTCTGTACCAAGAGCAGGCGAGGATCACTGAGCTATATTCTCTGAGGCTGGAGGGAGGAGGAGGCAGGGCAAAAGCATCCACACCTCTTGGCACATCCTCTTCCCTGATGAGGGCCAGAGCTAAGCCCACAAGACAGGAGCCAGCAAAGCCAATACCCTTCTCTGCTACTGAGCTTACCAAGGGGCAATGGGCCTCTGCAAAGGCCCCTGTGTATGGAGAGGAAGGGAGAACGGCTATAAGATCCCCCACCCCCCGGACAGACTACCTGGGCAATGGGCTAGAAATACAGCTCAGGAGTAGGCAGATCTTGTCCCATATCACAAAGCCCTGGGTTGGTCCCTAATACCACAAGAAGTGGGCATGGAAACACACATCTATAATCCCAGCAGTCAGGTGGAGGCAGAGCCCAAAGAATCCAAAGTTCAAGATCATCTGTGGCTACAGAGCAAGTTCTAGGCTCCACGAGGCAGGCTACGTCTTAGAAGGGGTGTCAGAGCAGTCGGCATATACGTACCATGGCATCGAAGGGCTGGTCTGATGAGTCACGAGTGGTACAGAGGACACACACACTGGACACAGACGATTCATACCCTGGACACTCGAGTGGGACACACAAGATCTCTTCCCGTCACAAATGTTCTATTTAAAACACATGGATTATGTCTGGTATCTTCAACTGGTCAACAGACACTTCAGACAGCACATCGATGACTATCGGGACGACTGGGGTCAACTCTCAGTTAAGATAAAGATGCATGAATTTACTCGGGCCTAGCCTGGGCCGCACACAAAGAGGCTTTACTGGTCACTGGAGAGGAATGGCAGCTTTGCTTTGGTAGATGGAAATACAGAGACTTATGTGCAAGAATGGAGCCTTCAGACCCAGGTAAAGCTGACTTAGCACACAAGTGGGCCAGCTTCAGGAAAAGGCAACCCAAAAGCAAATGCCTTTTAAAATTTAGACAGAAAGAAAAACCAGGCAATCAGAATGACCACTAGCTCAGCAAGTGGCCATAATCAAGGGGGGGGGGTGTCATTTACACCTAATTAATAATTTATTTTTTATTGAAATCGAATACTTTATATTACAGTAAAGTTGATTGAAAAAAATGAACAGAAAAATCAATTTTTAAAAATACACTCATGTTGAAATCAAATAAGCCAGCCAAATTGGCATAAACCAAGAAATCTGCAGGGCGGTTCGCTTTTCGGTGTGTAGATACCACCTATGCACAGTCCTACAATGTGAGAAGTCACTGAACACGTCAAGAAAAGTCCACAGCCAGTGGAAGAACACCGGGCCTGCCTTTCAATCCTGGGACCCTGCCCGGGCACAGGTCCACACATAACACTGGCCCACCGTGTTCCACACGATGTCTGTAAGTCACCCTGTGCAAATTAAGGCTTCTTATAGGTCAAATGGATGATAAACACTTTTTCCCCTTTAAAAAAAAAAAAAGCACAGTAAAGGTGGTATCATGAGAACCTGAAGAGACCTACAACCCAAACTGGAAGTGCAGCTACTCTCCGTGTTGCCTCAACTCCAGTCACGTGTACAAAAGTCCTTCTCTGGGTGAGCTGCTGGGAAGGCAGCACCCAGGAGGATGCGTGCAAAGAGCTGCAGGTACAATGCGAGGCATGGAGCAGGCAGGCCTTCCCAGCCTGGGCACTCAGGGACCTGTGGACGTGCGTGCCTACAACATGGAAAGCGAAGAGGAATACTGCAGCTCACTAGCGTGTGTATCCAGGACAGTCCAGGAGCCACGCGACGGCCCCAGCACACTGCCAGCTTCTCCTCATCACACCCTTGCTGGCAGAAGAAACTGGCTTTTTTCTTTTTGTTTTGTTTTTCGCAAACCTGAGTAGTAATTGTCGGAGTCAATAAATAGGGGGAGAGAATTACATTGCTAAAAATATAAATGGTCAAACACCCTAGAGGGTCTAAAGCAGCAAGGGTTTTTTCAAACACAGCCCTCTGTGCTGAGATGCATGTGGCCTTGGCACCTGTTGGAAGGAAGCACACTGCAGCTATGCTTGGAAGTGAGGACTTGGGGCAAAACCCTGGCACGAAGTACCGCCCTTTGGCCAATTCAAGCAACACTTGTTCCATGACTGTAAACGACCATGAAGGAGGGGTGCCACCTCCTTCACCCTCTCCCCCGTCACAAAAACTCTTCCCTTTGAAGCAGTTTTTGTTAAAGGCAAAATGATAGAAGCATCATCGAGTTGAAGTCTTATTTGGTTGGAGGTGCTTGGCTGTCCCATGGCTCCACGTTCTCCTGTAGGCACCGCGGAGTCAGATATGCAAGAGGTCTTCGTCGCTGTCGTCATGGAAGGACACCAGCGTGGCAGAGGTGGGTGACTTGTGCTGTCCAGGTCTGGACTTCCCTTTTCTGGCCTTCTCTCCTCGGACCAGCCCTACCCTATCGTCCTCCCTTTCCCTAAGGACCTTGCACTGTGGGTTTCTCATGGGCTGTGACCTTTCTACCTCGGCTCCTCTGCCCGAGTGAACTTTCACCTCTGGAATGGTCAGGACTTCGTCCTCACTGTCCTGGTCATCCCCGTGCAGTGAAGTGAGAGCATCTGCTTTCACGGCCTTGGTGGTGATGTGGCCGTTCTCCTGCCCCTCTTTGCCTGGTCTTGGGGTTGGCGGCTGGACCTCTTCCATCAGCCATTCTGTTTCATTCTCATCTGTCTCCTCTTCCTTGTTGACCTGCCAGAGAACAACAGCAGAGACCGTGTGAAACCCAGCAAAGATACCCACCTGCTGCCAGCGAGCTCTCCTGGTACAGCCCACCAGGGCCTCTCTGTGCTGGCATGAGATGAGAACCTGCAAAGTAGAGCCACTGGCAAGAGTCTCACAAGCAAATGAGCAGGCCAGGAGGACAGGACTTGACATGGCCCATGACTGCTAAGCTATGCTGGCAGAGAGGGGCTCTTTTGGGAGGCTGTGTACTGAGGAGAGGGCATCTGGTGTGCAAGAGAAGATACAGGAAGGGCTTGGATCAGAGCATCAAATTTCTAAATTTTCTGTATTTATGTGTATGTTCAAATGTGCACAGGTGCACGTGTATGCACATGTGTGTGTACACATAGGAAAATCTTGGCTATCATCCTCAGAAGCTATCTACCATGGTTCTTTTGTTTTGCAACAAGGTCTCCACTGGCTAGCGTTCACCAAGGAGATGGGGCTGGCTGGCCAGTTGGCCCAGAGCTGCACCCTCTGAATACCCCGGGCACTCTAGCATGCATCACCATGCCCAAGGCTTTTTTTTTTTTTTTTAAATGGGTTCTAGAGGATCGTGCTATACCAACCGAGCCATCTTCCCAGTCCAATTTATTTTTTAAAAGTGATCTGGCAATACGTCTGAGAACTAGTTCTTTACACTGTCTGACTACGTATCAGTGTGATTGGTTTAATAAAGAAGCTAAATGGCCAATAACTAGGCAGGATTTTCAGGGCAGAGGCTAAGGAGTCAGGAGGATACGTAGAAAGAAGCAAGATGAAGATGCCGTGCTGAAAGAAGGTACCACCACATGGCAGGGGGTAGATAAGAAATATGGGTTAATTAAGTTATAAGAGCTACTTAGTAATAAGCCTAAGCTAGGGGCCAAGCATTTACAGATAATAGTAAGTCTCTATGTGGCTTTTTGGGAGCGGCGGTGGAACAGGAAAATTCCACCAACATATGTGTGAGGGCTATAAACACATCTGTGTCCTTTGGCCTCTTTTGAAAGTCTGAGAGAAACTACCCAGATACTTGGTGCACAGGGCTTCATCACTGAGGCTTACTCTAAGAGTTCCAAACATTTGGGGACAGGCTATCAGATGATGTGAGGAGGGTTCCCTCCCAAGACACTCTATGCCAGCATGCAGGAAGGCTCGGGCAGCACGGGCAGCGCTGCAGGGAGCAGCTGCCCCACGAAGCGGACAGTACCTTCGAGTACTTGTAGGACACACCCGAGCTTCTTCTGCAGCAGTTGGTTAGCTTGTTGACCACAGCTTCCCTGTCAAACAGAAAACACAGTAAATGGACAGAAGAATGAGCGGAGACAAGGCACCCAGCCGGTTGGCACAAGTCCGGTCTGCACAGCTCCTAAGGACTGTGTCCTAAGGGCGGGGCATTTGGAATGACTGACAGCACCGTGACAGCACAGCTGGGACCACTGGGCTCAGATCAGGCCGAGAAGTGCCAGTCTTGCTCCACCCTTGAGACTAACAAGGTCAGCAGCAGGAACACACCTCTGTGTGCCCAGACTACTCTGGTGGCGGCTTCCACGGGTATATGCCCATTGCTCTGCCTGAGCCCCACCCCTCCCTCCGAGTTCACATCTGAGCATGGTTGACTATACACTCATCCACTTTCCCAGGGCTGCTCTAATGTGTGACATAAAAATCTAACAAAAAAACAGAATCATGTAACAAGCCTTTCACCTAGCAAAGCAAGGCCAACAGGAGAGAGCACCTGACACACAGTACGTGTTTAATAAGTGCTCACTTTGTGTGATGTGGGGGAAGGATAGTCAGTTGATCAGTAAAAAAAAAAAAAATTCGCTCATAAGATTCTTAACTTATCAGTCTTTGGACTTCATAGGCTCATGTGTCTTAGACCCATCAGCACCAACTGAGAAGACTGTGATGTGCACAATGAGTGTGAACTAGAACCTGTGGTGTGCACATCCAGTGTGAACTTGAACCACTTCCCCCCACTTCAGCACCTATGAACAACGCCAAAGTTCTGGGCAATCTCATGCTGTGTCATGGAAATTAAGACATTTAAACACAGTGGTATCCACTGCTTAGAATTTTGAACCTAGATGTTTGCTGTTGCCAGGTTCAAAACCCAAGCCCATAGCTAAGACTGGATGAACTGCTGGCTCGGCCCGGCCTGGCCCCTCCTACCTTGCTGCCCACTTTACCTTCTCTCCTTCTTATAAAGCAACAAGGCCAGCAAACAGCCAGTTAGCGCCACCAGGAGAAGGCTGAGAATGGCCCCGACGGCCTGACTCCGCTCTGAGAGTCCCTTGTACTCTGGTCCTGCATTGTCACCATCCAAGGCCATACTAGAAAGACATCCACAGAAAGGAAGCTATGTCAGGAGCTGTGGAGAGCAATATTCCAAGGAAACTAGGTCCCAGAAGCTAGCCCCTACTCAATCCAGACCAGGACACGTGACCCAGGAGGCTTAGAAAGTAGCACCTAGAGTGTTCTGAGAATGTTTACAGTGGGAAGAGGTCTACTGACAAAAATAGCAGGAGCTGAAGACATGGACCAGCCATGCACATCATCTGTGGGTCTGCCTGGCCCTGCAGAGCCCTGCAGGCCAAGCAAAGACAGGGATTCTCCTGTACCAGGCCATCTTAGAATCTAGCCCTGGGGCATCTGGCTAGAGGGATATCTAGGACTGGGGTAGGCGCAAACGCTGTGGAGCCTGCTGGTTCTAGCCTGGCTGGCCCAAGAACACTACTATGAAATGGAATAATCCCACCATGCCCACTCAATGCCAGTCCCGAGGGAGGAAGTAGGACATCCAGGATGCTCGGCACACAAAGGAAGCAGTTGTACATGGACACAGGCTGACTGTCCCTTCTGCTCAGGAGGGCTCAGCATGAAGGCTTGACACTCCAGAGCTCTCTGGTTTCCTGCCACTCAGGGCCACCACACACGACACAACACAGCGACACAACAGCATCTTCTGCCCCAGAGAAGCTGGGGCAGGGATGAAAGGAGTGACAGGAGGTATCTGGACTCCTAAGAGTTTGGGGGCAAACAGGCTATTCACATAATAAAGACAATTACAGTGAAAGTTTGGCTCCAGAATAATGCAAATAAACTGGTGAGCGCCACCAAGCAAGAGCTCTGATGGGCTGGTGTGCATCACCGCCACACAATCTCATACTAACACCAGGAAGCTAGGAAACAACGGAAGAGCTTGGTGTTCAGACCGGCCCTAGCCCGCACCTCTTAACCTGTGCTGGGGTAGGAATATCGCATGCTAACAGCAGTGTGGGGAGTCTGCAGACCTCCAAGCCAGAGCCGGCGCAGGCGCTCAAGGGCATGTTAAGATGCTCTGGAACACTTTCGTCACTGTTCACCTCTGAATTCTTCGAATTCTAGCCTCGACTGCTCCTTTACACCAAGGATTACTTACAAATAACAGGTCTTAGTTTCCACATGCAAATAAAGATAATGGTCCCTGGACATGAAAACACCATGATTTCCTCCCTCCCTGGCCTGGAGTCCTTGGAGCATTCCCCTTCCTGCCCCTAAAACTCCAGGCTCTGGAGCGTATTCTAAAGACCTACAGAGTGCTTTGTTCACCCCAATACAGAAATGCTTCACTCCAACTGAACTGCAGTCTGCCATGTAAAGCACACGGAGCACAGGAAAGGCTGACGGAATCACAACAGCCCTGCTCCCGGCAGCTGAGGGAAGGGAGATGGTGTGTACGACAAAGACAATGGCACAGACCAGGATTCATCTTTTGTCCTCATCAGAATACATCCCAATATAACAGCAAGGGAAAACACAGAGGCTTAGCCTTGAACAGTGATGGGAAAGGGACATGGCTACCACACTCACCCCAGAGGACAGACAGCCGCAGTATACCAGGAGAACAGGTACTGGCAGTCAGCAGTCTCGTGGCTGAACTCTGGGATCCCATCCTTCACCAGAGGGTCACAGTGGAAGAAGATGGTGGAGGAGACAGACTTGGTCTTATCTTTCCCACACTTGGAGGACGAGGCAAACACCACATCCAGATCGCCATCTGTCACCCAGGAAAGGAGACCATAGCATCATTACCAGTCACCACATGGACACTTCAAATGTCCGCGTGCACTCTGTCTTCACAGGTTTGTCCAAAGCATGGGAAGATTTTAACCTCATCTAACATGAGGTCTGGCCTTTGTCCTTGGCTACTGATAGGATTTACGGTGGGCTGACCAGGTCTCCTTCAGCCTAGACAACAGAATCAGCATGCCTAGCCAGCAGTACTCCAGGGAGACATCACACATCACTGTAGGGATGGCGGCACAGCCTATTTCCACAGGGAGGCCAGAGGAGGGTCTGCACCTGGCTCCCAGCCTTCCCCAGGAGCATCCTGTCACAGGTGACTACAGCCTAGAACCTCAACTATAATCAACTACAAGCAGGAGGACAACAGCTCCCAGAGAATTCTGGGAGTTCTCACCCAAATTTCCAAATGGGAGTGACCTATGGAAACCACTGAATGAGCCCTTGGTGTCAGAAATACAGGAAGACTGAGTGGACCCTGCTCTAACCTCATTCTACCAGCTCCTGTTCTCTTGATTATGGATCTGGAAACACTATGTTAAAAGTTAACTGTCACATGGTTCAAAAGCAAATCACAAAAGATATATGGTGAAAGATGAGTTATTTCAAACAAAAAATACACACGGCCTTGCAGGAACACACTCGTGTGGTAACGAGAATGACTGGTGCCAGTCAACCTCCCCACACCTGTTCTTACTCAGCTTGATGGGGTCCGCCACCATCACGGCAAACTTACGGTGTTGGTTCTCTCCTTCTATTATGTGAGTCCCGCTAATCCCAGGTCCCTCAGGCTTGGCATCAAGCACCCTTACCCACTGAGCCAGCTCCCTCATGAACCTCTCCTTCTCTAATGACTTAGAGTTTCTAAATGAGGAAGCAGCAGTCATAATGTCAGGTCACAAGCATACTATGCACCCTGTCTCCCTCTGTATTTGCCCACCAGGGCAATACCGGCTCACAAAGGGCTTTGGTTCTGGAAGCAGTCTTGAGATTTCCACGCAGCGGGTTTGTAGGTGAGCACACACAGCTCTCCCTTCGAAAAGCTGCACAAGAACCACTAACAGGCAGCAGCAAGTTACCTTGGATGTAGTACTTGGTCCTGTCGGAGGTGCCCACTTTCCTGCTGAAGTGCTGGTCATTGGGCTTCACCTGGCAGATGTTGGCACCAGAGCAGGCAGGGTTAGTGGAGCTGGTGATGGAGGAGAGCTGGATCTCATACAGGTAGTTGTCCCCGTTGGTTCTCATGTCCCCAGAGGCGCTGAACAGCCTGAGGCAGAGGAGACACAGTGATTTAAAATCCTTCATGTTTCTATTCTCCTCCATACTCCAGTCACATGAGACTTCAGTCATCTCCCTGCCCCAGTGTCCCCTCCTGGAGTGACTATACCTTCTTATACACCGCAGACAGCACATGCAATGCACTCTGCCCCCACATGGCCAAAGACACTGCCAGAGATGGACTTTTACAACATGTTGGTCAGTCCAGAAGATTCCTTGTTCCCCTACTCTTCCCGAGGCCCTTGGCTCCAACCCCTAAGCTCCCCAGCAGAGAGGAGAGGAGCTACTCTTTATAAAGACACACCACGGTGTTAAGCCATGAGAAACAGTACACTTTTCTTCATTTAAATCAGTCCATGGTTACTCCAGTAACAGAAGCAGAAGCACACAGACTACTGACCTTGTAGCACTTCTGCTAAAAAGAAGTCTCGTTTTTATTCACTTTTGACTACGTGTAAAGCCAAAGAGGCAATCCCACTTACTTAAAGTAGATGTCGCCGAGGCTGAAGCTCTTGCCGGTCACAGGGTTGATGAGGGTCCCATTCACCATGCTCACTTCCTGAGGCCTCACAGCGCAGGCCGCCCTCGAGTCCCAGCCAAAGTAGTAGGTGCAGGTGTCACTATCAAACCTGGGAGGAGAGGCGAGGTCACCGGGGGGCTCTGGAGAGTCCTTGGTCCCCACAGCACAGAGTGGGAGTGGCAGCACTGGGCCAGGACAATTATCTTGGCCCCATGCTTCAGCACAGTAGCAAAATTTAACATCAGTGGCATGGATCTGGTGACTGCTGACCCTGGGAACAGCAGCCTGTGATTCTGGCCTCTCAGGAGGCCGAGGCAGAAGGTAGGAAGTACCTGTCACAACTACAGAGCAAATCCAAGGCCAGCCTGGACACCTTACCTTAGTGACACCTTGTCCCAAAATTAACAAAAGGGAGCTGGAAATACCTTGATTAGCTTGCATGAGGCCCTGGGTTCAAGACTCTGTTTACGAAAAACAAGCTCAACAAAAATGTCTTAACAAATCTTGCATCTAGACTTTCAATCTTCACTTTTACAAGCATCTGAGTCTCACGTTAAAAAGCCCTTTTATTTGTTATGGTTGCCTTTCAAAGCACAGCTTCCAAGCAGCAGCTCACATGCTCTCCCCCCAGGCACCGGCCACTGCCTGGAATACATTATGTCATCACTTAAGAATATCCTAGAACCTGTGTGTAGGTTCTAGACAGGCTGCTGGTGGTGGCCCTCAGAATTCTACCATGACATTCAAGGGCAGCAGTCAGCCCTGTACTGCTAGGCTACCACAGGCAGCTCCAAAGCCAGTTCGGGGGCATGTTTCCTAAGGCAAACCAGGCTAAAGCGCTGAGGTAGCCTGGCTATGGCACATCTTAGCACTCTAGTGGGGTTGGGGTGCCTCCTGTGGGCTCTGGCCTCTAGGCCCTCAGTCTCAGAGTCTCAGGGACAGCCCAGACACCGTCATCTGTGCACATTTCCCAATTCCCGTGTAGAATGGGAGGCAGAAACCACAGTGTACTTACACTGAGCACTGTCTCACCTCTTGAATGTCGGCCTGCCCACAGTCTTCGCACAGGTCAACTCAATTACAGACGATGCCGTCTTATTCCCACCGCAAGGATAGCCTTTTGAGTAAGTGACAACGACCTTGTCACCTGAAACAAAACAATGAACTGGTGTTATTGCTAAGGCATTACGAAAGCATCGGGAGCTTAAAGTCTACTGTAAAGACAGGTGACAGACAGCTCTCTAAAGGTGTCCGCCATGCTCAAAGACAGCCACTGGCCCATACCACCATTGTCATGGCAACAGCAGGATCATGAGCTTCCTGGCTCCTCAGAAATGCTAAACTTCCACGGCCACACCTACAGGACGACCATCCACACCTACAGATACCATCCACACCTACAGATACCATCCACACCTACAGGACGACCATCCAACTCCATAGGACTCCCTGGTTGTGCAAAATGGGATTCCTAAGACGTTCCTAAGTGTACCCACCAGGGTTCTCATGTTGGGAATTTAATTCCCAGAGGGAGGTACCTCTCAGGCCACTTCCTGTCTGGTGACTCTGCCAATCTGTAGAGCCTGGGCTTCTGACTAACGGCCATGGTGATTTCTCAATTCACTCTCCATCTCAATACCCATGTCAGCCTGTAGCTCAATCAGCACAACTCAGAACTCCACTCTAGCCTGACAGCACAGCACCATATCCAAACACCCAACACAGTCTAGATATTCTTAGCTAAGTGTGATGGCCCTCTGACGAGCAGATCTACCTTCCCCTCAGTGACGAATGAAAGGTGAGCTTGTATTCAGATTACTAAAGAGTCATGGTTACTTTCCAAGTGCTTGAGACATGTGTCTGTACCATGTCCCCTGCAACTATAGGTTTCTGAGGTGTGTGTAGACATAGATTCAGGAGCCAGAACATAATCACCAGAGGTGTTTTAAACAGACAGGTGGTCATACTTCAGAGCATACAGATGGCATGTACGTTCATGTTCCAGGAAGTGGGTGGAAATGCTTCAATTAGTCACAGAGAATAATCTCTCAAGTTTCCACCAAAGTTCAGGTACATTCCCCATCACACCAGCGACAGCCTCACCTTGCCAATCTTGATACAGCAACTGAATCAAGGATGAGGACCCCAGAGCCTTACCTATGACATCCAGCTTTTGTGTATGAACAAGCCCCAGAACCTGGACTTGACCAGATAGACTCTTCTTGCAAACGCTGGCCCTTTCAGAACAGTCCAGGGGCCCTTTATATACTCTTTGACACAGATTGATAAAGTACCTGCAGAATGAAACAAAGGAGTGGGAGAAAGGGAAGTGACATCTCTACCCTAAGATACTCCAGGCTGCCTTGGGAGGTGGCTCCTAGAGCAGCCTTGGCAGTGCAGAAGGAGCAGACATGTCCTCAGGTATCCCTGGCACAGTGAGGGAGGAGAGAGACGGCTGTGGAGGCAGAGCAGACACTAGGTCCTCCATTCGCAGCCCTGATTTGCAGCAGGACCTGCAGGGCTCAGAGTGCCTGCTGGCAGAGTAAGCACTCCCCACATGGAGCTCAAAAGGCAAAGGCAGAGTAATACCTGGCAAAAGTCTTAGAAACCCCATACTACCTCACACCTGTGCACCAGGAAGCCCTTTACAACTGCCAGGGTTCCAATCTCCATGTGAGTCCACCAGAGCTCCCCACACACTATGTCAGAGTCACTTGGTGACATTCTAGATCATGTCTCACTGAGAGCCCCGAAGACCACAGTTATGTGATATTCCTATCTGCAAACTTGAGGGACCGTGATGGGTGCATACTCACGAGGTTCCTTCATGGACAAAGTCCCAGGATCCTGTGAGGGAAGAGAGCAACCGCAAGTCGTAGGTTTTGTGCTTCTGAACGAACTTGCACTCCATCTTCTTCGGAGGGCAGACAACTTTTGTTTTCCACTCAAATGTCACCTCACACCCACGATCTTCACTCAAGACTTCTGGCCTCCCAATATCTTCATTTTCATCACATGTAAATATGATGGCAGACATCCGGTATCTGTTGGCTGGAGAGCAGAGGCATGCAATGGTCAGACCTAGGGTGGGGCGAACACCTGACTTCTCCACCTCCTATCTCCTGGCCATTTCCCAAGTGCAGTCCTGGACAAGATCTGTCTCAGTTCCCGCAGACCCCACAGCATCTTTAGGGCTCCTCCCAGGAAAGCACTCAACATTTGACCAAATACTGATGGTGACAGTGCCACCCATGGGCCACAAGTATTACTGTCAACACAAGCCTCGAAGCCAGTCATCGCCCATAAACCAAACACTTGTCCGTGGTAACTTAGAGAGCTACACGGATTCTAAGGTGCTTGAGTCACTCTTCCTCCGCCCCTCAGTCACAAAGGAGCCAAGTGCTAAGTCTGTCTCTCCATGAATACCACCCCCACACATGATGTGTTCAATGACTTCACACTGCAGACCTAACAGAGAGGAATGACCTAACCAGAGCTGCATGCTGGGATGTGAGCACAGTAATTCCACTAACTGAGCGGATCTAGGTGAGCACTCTACGGCACGCCCACACTCAGTACAGCTCCACTGTAGTTCACATATACACCTGCCTTGTCATCCCATGGAGCAACTAAAATGCTCTCTGTAGCCAACAAGAAGAAACTTACATCCTAGAATCATGGTCTTAATTAGCGTGGCCATCCCTAGAAGAGCTGCCACCCTCCCATCCCCAGACTTGGTTCCCCACTCACTCTGTCTGCAGAAGCCCCATTCATGGTCACGATCATAATTTGCAGTTTTGCTACACCACAGCTTTGACCGTCCCTCCAAAGCACAGGCCTCATAGGTCTTCCTTTCATAGATGAAGGGGAAGACGCAGGGGTCGCCATCTTCCGTTTCTGGAAGGAAAGACGCAAGGTCATTTAGATGTATCAACGACTTACTAGACGCCATTGCCCAAGGATAGCCAACAAGGAGTCCCTAAGAAGCTGTCTACCTGCCTGACAGCCAGGGTGCCCTCGCACAAACACGTGAAAACAGCACGCATGTTCCAGGCACACTCACTCATACCAGGGAGGGCGCTGTGGCAGGGTGGAGTGCTCACAGACCTAGAGCTTCACTCCTCGGGGACTTTCCTGCTAAGTCTAATCTATTTACCAGGAATCTGAAAATGACCCTACAGTGAAGATTTACCTAGAGGGCAAGGGTCACCATTCACATAACTCAGAATGACTGCTTCGTCCTGGTGCCGGTAATCCAGCTGCATTGATGTTAGGCGACCAAAAGATGCCCCTTTGCTCCCAGAAAGCAGACAGACGCCGCTGTCCTTGCAGCCTCCCTGGTCCAGGCCATCTGCTGCAGTGCACACCCCTATACTGTATGTGTGAGAGTCGCGAGTGACCTGCAGACAAAGAGCACAGCCAGCTGTGGACAGTGTGAACAGAGCAGAGCTCCATCCAAGTAATGACAGAAACACTCCGCAGTTCACGGTCCTGTACCTGGAGAGTGCCATGGCTCCCAAGGCCACCTCCAGGGGCAACCAGGAATGCCCTGCTGGCACTCTAGGTAGTTCCCTCTGGCCACTAGAAGAGGTCAAAATCCCCTCACTCCAAGCCTCCTTTCCTTCCTTGTTCTCTCCCCTGGGCCCAGGCTGCCAATGGGTGCTGTTCAACTGTCCTCTCTAGCTAGATCCTGCTGCTTGGAGTTCCAGGCTTCCAGGCTGACTTCTTTGGCTGGGTAAGGAATGAGCTAAGAAGCTAAGCAGACAATTCCACAGGTAAGCATGGGCCTTGCTGTCTTTACTACTCACTGTGCACCTGGGGGGGGGGGGGGGGGGCTGTGCACCCCAGGTGCCAACTTCAGAGAAAGTTAAGAACTCGCCACTCACCAGCTGCCAGGCACAGCAGTTGCTGAGGTGCTGTAGTCCAGTTCATACACGGGGATAACTTGGCAATAACCTCGCACCCTCACTGACAGTCCCCTATCCACAGACACTTTGCATAACACTAAGTTACTCACAGTCTGTGGTTGGCAAACTGCAGTCTCTTTACCCTGAGTTCAGGCTGGCAACTTAGCAATTCTCTGTGGATTTCTGTAACCAAACTAATGTGGCCCTGCTCCAGGGCTATGTGGTCCAAGGCATGCCCCCAAGCCTTTATCCACCTGTGCTACAGAATTTCACTGCCCGCCTCACTAGTCAGAGCCCCTGGCTACAGAAGGCAGCCTTGCCTTGAAAGTGCTTGTGGAGAGGCTGGTCAGGTTGAAGCTGTAGAGAAGCTGCTCGTCCGTCACAGCACAGCCCTGTGTCTTCACTTCATCGGGACAGACGATCGGAGTTTCCCACTCAAACACAAAGTCACAGTCATTGGTCCTTATCAGCTTAGGAGTTCCCTGTGACCAAGAAGAGCATGAATCTTAAAAACCATAGGATGTGAGTTGAAGATCCACCACATTCTTGCCTGGGAGTGGTGAGGACATACACCCCTTCCACATACTACAAAAGCAAGCATAGACAAACCAAAGCAGGTCTGCATTTTGCCACATCTTGACACCAGGAATACTTAAGAGGGCAAAATATAATGCAGTCATATACTGCACAGATTCATTCAACAGCAGCAGAAAGCAGCCAGTTGTTTGGCAATTCCATTTACATTTGCTGATGAGACCTTTTCTGAGTGACTCACACAAGGAAAGAGCTTCTACTGCAGATGGCAAACACTGGGAAGGACAACCCTTTAAAACCTCTCCTGCTGCAACACCAGCATCTACCCCTCAGTGCATCCCAGAGTCACAAGTTCAGAGCTGAGAACAGTTCCACTTGCTTATCTGGTCCTGAGAGAAAATAAGACTATATAATGAGTGATGGTAGGGCCCTAACGTCTGACTTTCTACTCAGAAAACAATGTGGCTTCTCTCCCCCAAAGTTTCCATGTTTTTGAGTGACCAAAAGTATCCATGTTAACTCAGACTTGCTCATGCCTCAAAAGTACTTTTAAAATAGTTTTGAGAAAGGACTCAGGAACTCCCCATGGCAGGTGCTGTGGGTAAAGGCAACAGGTGGTGGCACACACATACCATGCTGACCCCTCTCTTGCAGTGAAACGCGATGAGCGAGGTGTAGTTCATATACTTGTCCGCTAAGCAAGGAGTACTGCTTTCAAAGTTCAAATAAACTTCGTTCGCCACAGGATTGAATATTGGAGGACCTGTGACTCGGCCAATGTCCTAGGACAGGAGGAAGCAAACAGTGGTTCATAACCATTCCAAGGTTGACAGACGAGGGACTCACAGGAACTGCAGCAGGTCTACATCATCAGCCCTTCGAGAAGCACTTTCTGCTGCTCTGTGACTATCAGGCAAGCAGGTCGCTGGCATGTGTACATTCCAGAGAAGCTTGGATGGGCACCAAGGGTGTTTCTACTCATATTCAGCTTTCAGATTCTAAGAACTAGGAATTTCTCTTGTCATTCAAAGCAAGAATGCCACTGTCCCCAGCCCCAGAAGGAGGAGGCAGGAACCTTGGCAATGTCCCTGCTGGGGTCCTGAGAACCACATCACCCTGAGACTGCTCCTTACTGTGGGACAATGCTGTTGTACACTGTAAAGATTTGTCACTTGTGCTGTTATAATAAAATGCCTGATTGGCCAGTAGCCAGGCATAAAGTATAGGTGGGGCAACCAGAACAGGAGAATTCTGGGAAAAGGAAATGCTCGGTCTATAGTTGTCACCCAGATGCAGAAGAAGCAAGGTGAGAATGCCTCACTGATAAAGGTACCAAGCCATGTGGCTAACGCTGAAAAGAATTTGGGTTAAGATGTAAGAGTTAGTTAATAAGAAACCTGAGCTAATAGGCCCAACCAGTTTATAAATAATGTAGACCTCTGTGTGTTCTTTGGGACTGAACGGCTGTGGGACCGGGAGGGAAAGAAACCTCTATCAACAAAAACAACTCCTTACCCAGGCTCAGTGGTACCTACTGAGTATGACCACACAAGAGACAACACTTGTTCACTACATGCCATTGCTTAGGACAGCAGCTGACACACAGTGCCTCTTTAATAAGTACTTTTAAGTAAGTGAATGAATGAAAGGCAGATGGACCAAAATCATGCCTGTGTGTATGTGTACTATCTGTGTATGTGATGAGTGTCGTGTGCGACCATGCGTATGCCGGTTCTGAGCATGAGTGTGTGCATATGGACATGTACATGGCAAGGATGTGCTTTTTCTCTTGGTTTTTACTCAGCTGCAAAGCTCTTAAATCACCACTATGGGGCATGTTGTTACCACATGACATAATGCCTTCACCAATGAAAGAACGGGAGACAAAATTTTAATCTTACAAAGGATGCCCAAGCAGAAAGACTCATTAGACAGAGCCTCTGGGAAATGATCCACAATCAATCAGAACGGCTGGTCAGGATGTTACTGAAGAACTTTCTAGCAAAACATGGTCACGCCTTCGTCATCCTCTGTACCGTACTACATACACTTGACATCACTTTTAAAGGACATCCGGAGTCCACAACAGAACTCACCACTGAAGTGGGTCTAGAATTTAAAACACTGAAGGCCTTGGCAAACCATAAATACAATTTGAAAAATCCAAACCCAAAAAGCTTTCAAGGCCAAGAATTTAGTTATCATCACAACTGTTTTTTCCCTTAATTATAACTCATCACTAAGGAAAGAGCCTGCAGGCCTTAGGTGTTTTACTGCAGAAGCCTCTGAAATGAAAACACAAGCTATGTTAGTGCTCTCTCCTCTCCTGGTCAGGTTCCACCCTGAGGCTCCTAACATAACTGGCAGAAAGCATATCTGGGAGGCTGGAGGGAAGCCCAGTGGTCAAAAGTTTTCTCATTACTCCAGCATAGGACCTGGGTTCGATCCCAGCGCACCCACCTGTAACTCCAGCTTTCAGGGATCCAGTATTTCCAGCCTCTGCTGGACACCCACTCCCATTTGCATGCACCCCATATATGAATATATACACGTAATCAAAAATAAAATAAAAATCTAAAAAGAAAAAAATACCTGGGCTCCGTGGTTAAGAGCACTATTCGCACTAATCAGAAGTACCCAAAAACACTTCTACCAGCTAGCCCTGTCATGTGACCACCAACCTGCAAACTTAGGAGAGGATTCCTTGTACCTTCTTCTGGAGGATGCCCAAGTTCACAGCCGAGTGCCAATACCAGGGAGGTCACAAGTGCTTGTAACCTCCCCTGAGGAACCAAAACCCCAGCCTAGCTCCACAGCACCTATATACAGGTGGCCTACACTCACATACACAGATTTTAAAAATGCTTATCTAAGTAACTGTTCAGTCTTTATGCAGCTCGGACTTCCTGGTCGGCACTACTGGTTAGCAGCTCTGAACACTTTCACACTAATCCTCCTTAGCCGCCTGAGCCTACACTCTCTATCCTTTCTGCTTGAACACTCCTCTGGGAGCACAAAACACAGCACACAGGCTACAATTCACGAAGTCTCCTAACCCTTCTCCTTACGCACTTACTATAGGGGGCCCGTTCACAGGGACTTTGCACACTGCAGCCCCTGCAGGGCAGGGCACTCCGTGCATGGGATTCAGAGGCTGGCAGATGTTGATGTAGAAGTCAGGGGTGGTATCAGAGGTACCATCCTCACTTTCATCATATGCTTCATAGCCACCAGTGCGATGAATGAGAGGGGACAAGTCAATAATTGAGCTTCCATTCCGCACAGTGCATTCTGTCTGTTAAAAAAAAAAAAAGACTACAGTTGAGTTTGTAATAATTTTCCTCCAGTGACCATGATGGTTATTCAAAAGAACTTGAGAAGCTAAACCCAGGTATGATGGAACATGTCTACATTCCCAGCACTCAGGGGGCTGAGGCAGGAAGATTGCCACAAGTTCAAGGCTAGTCTGAGCTATACAGTGAGTTAAAGGTCAGTTTAGGATATAATGTGAGACTTCTACCCAAAAGAAGAAAAAGGGAATGACGATCAACTAAGGCCACCTAGCCTTGGACTGCTGGGGACCCGTGAACTGAAGACCCAGATGTAGGGGCGTGATGCAGGCACGCTCTGCCTCCACTCACCACTTGCTCACAGGCCAGGGGTGTGTGCCAGGAGAAGAAGAGTGTACACGTTTGCTTGTCCAAAGAGATGAGCATGGGCCTGTTGGCAGGTCCAGCCTCAGGCCGGCACACAAAGCTGATGACACTCTTGTACCTCAGGCCTGATTTGGAGGGACACAGGGACCCTTCCTCATACACCAGCTGCAAGACTTGATCCACGTAGCTCAGTCTCTTGCTGGCCTTACCCACACTGATTTTGGTCTGTCCAAAGCAGGCCCCTGCAACGCACGAAAGGACGAGAAAGCACCAGTAAGGGCCAGTGGCTAATTTCTCAGATCCACTTAAATCTGGCATCCACAGTCTGGTTTCACTTGTCATGCAGCCCATATCTCCTAACTACTACAAGGATGGCAATGTGGGTCTTGAAAGTAGTGACAGGGCTGAAGCCAGCCTAGACAGCAGGGAAGGACAACAGGCAAGAGAGGCTATGGCACTCACCCACACCAGGGCCACAGTTTTCGTTCTCTCCACAGATGCTCATATAGACCAGCCCTTTCTCACTGTAGGAGGCCGTGGTACCAGCTTTGCCACTTAAGGAACGCAGGTCAAACAGATGGCCTGCAAAGTAGAAGATGGGAGTCGAGACTCAGGAGGGTGTCACATTGGCAAGGGTCATGCCACTCTTCCCCACCCCCGCACACACTGATCAAGAGCACCCTAAAACATTCCAACCAGCAGCACGCGCCTGTCATCTGACCACCAGTCTCCAGATTTATGAGAGGCCTCTGGGGTTCCTGAGGGCCAGATGCATCTCTCCAACCGTCAACAGCCTGCCACCCACGTTCCTTTAGCACTTAGCATACAGGAAGGGCAGAAGCCTTCTAGTAGCTATCCTGTTGGCTCTGAAAGGTGCCCGGATGTGTAGATGCTAGCACCAAGCCAGAAGCACAGCAAAAAACAAGATGGAGACTGGCTTTCAGAGGAGAGCAAGGGGCACAAGGTAGCTTCCTCCTAGAATGAGCACAGGGCTCAGAGAAAAAAATCAAAGATACTCAAACATCAACTTCATCTCCTAGGTCTCTGCCTGTGCAGGGCTTCAAATGCCTGTCCCTCACCTGTGCTGGGGTTGGTGACTTGGCAGTCATCATGTATGTTGCTCTTCACAGGACATGCAGCAGGCGTGGGCCAGGAGAAGGTATACTCACAGTCCTGTATAGCACTGATGAACAGAGGCCTGGAGCTCTAGGGCAAGCAGAGAGAGCCTGCATTAGAGTAGCTCGTGCAGTAAGGGGTGCACCCTAGGAAAGCTGTTTGGCAAAGCCAAGCATGGTAAGTCTTGGGGTGTCTCTATTGGGTAAGCACAGGTCAGGAAAAGTAAAGGGAAGGTATCTGTGGGCTTCACACAAGGAAGTCAGCAAAATATCAGGGGCAGAAGTCAGCTAAGGGAGCCAGACATTTCCTAAGGATAGCCCCAGAGAGCCCAGGCAAAGGGACTCTGTGAGCAAACAGAGAACTAAAACCTGTTCCAGTCAAGACAAAAGGAGCCACTAATATTAATGTTTCTGGAGCACCAGCTACGGCCCACTGCTGCCTTGGGCACACCCCACCAAATGGAGCTGAGACCACTCTCTTGACTCACAGCGCTCATGCATTGAGGCCTCCCTGCCCTCCAGGGTATCCTGGGCCATAAGGCATCTGCTCCCTCGCAGATGAGAAGGAACCATACAGGAGGTCTGACCTCCATCCCTCACTCTGCCTGCACACAGAAGGGCCAGATCTTACTTCCCCAATGCAGATCACAAACAGAATGCACAGGGGCTCTTCCATGTCAAAGACAAGCTACCCGTGCCACCCACGCCTGCTGGATGCCAATACCAGCCAACCAGAGAGGGACGCAACTTAGAAGGTGAACCCAGCAAGGTATGCCCATTACCTGCAGAAGAGACACGGGCACTTCTGGTCTCTTTTCCACATCTTACCACAAACACGGAACAGAGCCAATGTTAGCTGCCCTTCTATCTTTAAGGAACTAGACTAGACTCAAAAGAATCAGCCCTGTGGCTGAAAGGCCCCAAGTAATTAACTGCCTACGGAGTCGACAAGGGGACACATCCCCAAACCTCAGACTTTCACAGCTAGCATGCACCATAACCACGCCACCCTGAGCTTGTGCCCAAAGGAAGCCTGGCAGTGTCACTGGCTCATGGTCCCACATTCTTCTGGAAGTCATTAACTCACCACTTGGCTGTCACTGCAGGTGAAGCGAATAATGGTTGACCTTTTCTGAATCTTGTCTGGACACAAGTCACCATCCACATACTTCAGGACAGTCACACCACCTGTCCACTGAGGACCATCTCTCACCTTGCCAAGGTTCACAGGCTTGGAGCCATTCAGCAAACACACGGCTGCCTCTGGAGGGCACGGCTCTGCAACACAAGACACACTCAGAGTCTGCTGGGGTGACTGCAGTGGAGACTGCTCCAGAATTGCAACCAGCACCACTCCCTGACAACCACACCTGCACTGCTCCATGACAACCACACCAGCACCACCACTCCATGACAACCACACCAGCACCACCACTCCATGACAACCACACCACCACCACTACTCCATGACAACCACACCAGCACCACCACTCCATGACAACCACTACCACCCCCCATGACAACCAGCTGTGTTTTCTACCAGTCACATGGATGCAGCATTCATTTTGTTGCTCACTGAAATGCTGCATAACCATAAAGGGCTGGGGCAAATGTGAGGCATGGCATACCCAAGACCACACCCTCGCCCCATCATCTCTAAAGACCATGTATGACAAGGCTAGGTGTCCTCAGTGCAGTGGGGCACTGTTAGGGCCCATATTCTCACTCTTTCGTCAAGATGTCACTAAGAACTCTAGTGACTTCCTGCTCCCCAAGCACCTGTGCCATACGCCCTGAGGAAGGGCCAGGCCTGCCCAGAGTCACAGGCTACCCAGAACACAGCAGAGGAGAGTGGGCCATGGTTCCCATCACACAGTTAAAAAAGCATCACCTGAGGGGACACCATTCATTCACTCCCTGACATTTTCAGCATTCCGAGGAATTCCCTGGGAAACTGTTAGTCAAACAGTATCCTCTTGTCTCTATTTTCATCCCAGACCTTGGGGAGCTCAGTCCCCTACAGGATAAACAGCGGGCTACCTAAGGATCTCTAGTCCCCTCCCATCTCGCATATTGCTTTCTTTCCATGCACAGTCCTGTCCTGTGATCAGAAAGGTTACTGTGTTCCCTGCAGTCCTCAGCATCAACAGAGCCTGGCCAGCCACATGGGGACCAGTCACCAAGGCCCTCAGTCCTCTCCCTGCTGCTTCTAGGCCAAACTTCTCCCACCACCCACCAGGGGAGAAGACTGCTCACCATTGCCAGCCTGTGGAGACAGAGACTTGCACACATTGATGAGGTAGTGCTCAGGGGCTCCTGTCCTGGTCACAGCCTCCCAGTTGTCACTGTATCTCGTCAGTGAGGAGAGGTCAATGGAGTTTCCAGCCCCATCCCTACAGAAAACAGAATACCATGGGCACCGACCGCCTCTAATCTTGGCAGCACACCAGGGTCACCAGAAACCAAGTGATGAAGGTCAGGAGGGGCCCCCGAGAGCCAGCAGGACAGGGCTACACTGTACGCTCCCTCACCCACCACGCACCAGGGTGTGTGGTTCCCTCCATCAAACGGGAAGGGTTGAGGAAAGGGCCCACTGTTACCATGGCCCTGGCTCCTGACATAAGCAGTATCTTGAGGAATTGGTAGACAAAGGGCAGTGGACCACCCCATTCCTTACAGCCCCAAGAACCAGGAAGGCTTTGCAGCTCTGCTTCTGTCCCTGTCACCTCTCCATATGTATCTGACACACCAACGTCCCCATACACACTCGCTGTGAAGCCAAATTTTGCCAAGGCAGGCTGACTGAACTCAAAGAGCCAACAGACGCAAGAACTTACTGGGTGGAACACTCTGTCACACTGTAGGGTGGGCAGGCGTGCTGTGTTCGCCACTCAAACAAATAGGAGCAGTCTGAAGTCTCCCTCAGAAACACTGGCTGCAAAGTTAAGGTGAACACAGATAAACACAGGAGCACTTGCAGGATGGCTATGCAGAGGTCTTCTGTAAATACTGCTTCTTATGGGCTCTGTGAGTAGACCAGCCTGCAAGTTCTTGTAAAAGAACAGCAGCTGGTGGGGGAGGGGGGGATGGAAGACAGGGGACCCCTGTGTGGATGCCGCAAGGCTCACCTTCTGAGTAGTCCGGTCGCAGTAGAAATAGATGGTGGTGGAGCGCTGGTACACCTTGTGGCAGGTGTCGCCCCCGGTGTAGTTAATTTTCAACAGTCCATTTTCGTAAGTCAGCTTCTGAGTAAGGAGCCCTGTGCAAGGAGAAGCATACCTGTGGGACTCGTGACAAGTGTTCCAGGGCTGTCACGTCACACACACCATGGTGCTGGACTCCTCCTGTCTACATGACATGGCAGCACACATGTGCAGCCTAAGAGTAACCATAGATAAAGTGGCATGTTGTCCTCTACAACCTGAGAGTTGCCACCTGCACTACAGCTCCCACGGGAGTGCTCATGCTGTCCGCAGCAGCCATCGTGGCCTCTTTTAAACATTCCTGAGCTGATTTAAATCTCATGCCCCTGCTGAATTGGCTTAAGTGACGTACTGCTTGTCAAATGGGAAATGGGGGGACTGTTTGTTAATTGAGACAGGGTCTTACTATAAGCCTAAGCTAGAGGGGGCTGGAGAGATGGCTCAGAGGTTAAGAGCACTGGCTGCTCTTCCAGAGGTCCTGAGTTCAATTCCCAGCAACCACATGGTGGCTCACAACCATCTGTACTGAGATCTGGCACCCTCCTCTGGTGTGTGGGCAAACATTGAGGCAGAATGTTGTATACCTAATAAATAAATAAATAAATCTTGGGGGGGGGGAGCCTAAGCTGGCCTCCAACTCAAGATCCTCACACGACAATTATGACAAGGGCAAGCAGGCACCACCATGCCGAATAACTCTTAACAGTTTTAGATCTATTTGTTATTTTATGAGTGTTCTGCCTGAATGTATGTCTATGTACCACATGGTAACTGGTGCCCTCAAAAGTCAGAAGAGAGTGTCAAAGCCCCTGGGTCTGGGTTACAAGAGGTTGTCAGTCGTCATGTGGGTGCTGGGAATTGAATCCTAGTCCTCTGCAAAAGCAGGCATCTCTCTCCAGGACAACCTTGTCAGTTTTATAGCTAAGCCTTCTATGAAACACATTCCCTTTGATGCAGCCCTAGGGCACACTGCCCTGCAGATACCCATCCCTGGCTAGTTCAACGTGCCCCACAGCCGGCATATAGAAAAAACTATGGGCTTAGGGTCAGATATACCCTGTGGAAGTCACACAACCCTGACCCCGGGCACGCTTTCCCTGATGCTCGGGGCACCTCACACCCACCTGCTATGCACAACTGCCTGTCTACCTTGTGCTCCTAAGCCTCCACAGCTGGACGTGCCAGCGTAAGGCAAAAGGCACAGCTTGCTTTCCTCTTCTCCAATCCCTTTCTGGCAACTGCCATGATTTCCACCTTGCCTTGCCCTGTTTTTTTCTTCCAAACTCTAATCAAATTGTCTTCAGTAAGCTGGCAAGGTGGCTCAGTGGTCAAATCTGCCAAATCTGATGACCTGAGCTCAAACCCCAGGAACTACATGGTAGAAGGAGAGAATTGGCGCCTGCAAACTGTTCTCTGACCTCCACTCATGCTCAGCGATACCCATCTTGCCACCACATAAAATAAATTGCCCATGAGCAAAGAGAGGGAGGAGGAAAAGAGAGAGGGAGAAGGGAAGGAGAGAGGATGAAGGAAGGAGGGAGGGAGGGAGGGAGGGAGGGAGGGAGGGAGGGAGGGAGGGAGGGAGGGGAGAAGGAGGAACAGTTTGCTTGTATCACCCAGCATGTTCTGGCTGGAGGTGGCTCATTCCTCCCATGTTAGAGAAACGTGATCTTTGGCATTATCTCTTGACATTTTACAACTCAAGAAGAAAAGAATAGTACCTGACACTTTCTGAAATCCCTGCGGTCCTTTCTTTTCCTGGCATGAAGAGACTACCTTGGATCCATCATGGCCAGAACAGACATTGGAGGACAGCTTCCCACAGACCCGGAAGTAGTAGGTGTACTCGCCAGCAGTGATGATGGTGTCATTGAAGGACAGGGGCTTCAGGTCATACAAATTGCCATGCCTGGGGTCTTTCACCTGGCAGTTGTCTCCTTCAAAAATGCACAGGAAGTCAAGAGAAAATGCTATCACAATGCATTCCTATTTCTAAGGGGAAAGAATTTCTTTTGTAATTAAATTTCGTATTTACTTTGCAGTACTGAGAGCCCAGGACCTAGCAGGCCCCATGCAAACATTCTATCGCTGTGCTACATTCTGAGCTCCATTTGCTGATTTGAGACTATGTATCATTAAGTTACCTATACCGGCCTCAAACTCACAGCCCAGGGTGTCAGGCCTTGAATTTATATTCCTCCTACTTCCGCCTTCTGTGAAGCTGAGGTTATAGGCCTGTACCACCAGTCCTGGCAAGTATCAAAAAAGTGGGCTACGTCCATGCTGTTTTGTTTATGTGTAGGACAGATGAAGGAAGAAAGTCCAAAGACAATGTCAAATTTCAAGACGACAAACCCATCCTGACTGCTTTATTGGTTTAAAGAGAAACCAAAAATTCAATCCAAGTACAGGAGAGAAAGGCCAGTATTAAAAATTAATAAATGGCTCAGTAAAGAACTCAAGGAGAAGCCGTGATCACCCCGCTCCCAGCACCTACTAACCCCACTGGCAGCCACCATCACAGGGCTTCCTATCTGAGACATCATGGGTTAGCGTCTACTACACCCTACATTTATAGCAACCCAGAGGCAGAACCTGGTGCTCACCTTCCTCTCTGACCACAGGACAAGCCTCCACTGTTCTCCACAAAAACACATACTCACAGTCTTTCAGGAACTGGAATATGGGTGAGCCCTGCAACAGAAACCAACAGTTTGCTTTGTTTTCTACTTTTTAAACAAAAACAAGAAAGCGCCTTGATTAATATCCAATCTTTCACTTGCTTAAGCCAAGTATTCAGTATTTATGAGTATTTCAGGCCCGAGAAAAACAGTATATTCTAGTAGAGCACTAGCAATGCCTCCAAACCTATAAAAACACAGAGAAGCTTCAAACAACATAGCAGACTCGAAAATGAAGGGGAAATGGAACGAGAAGAAAGGCTGCCGTGCACACTCACCGACGTCTGCCCACACTCGAAGATTATCCTGGTGGAGTAGCGCTGGCTTCCACACTTGTCGCCATTGACGTACAGGATGCTGAGGGACCCATTGGTGTCAGCCTGGGGACTGATCTGCACCACACCCAAGTTCAGACCTCGGTCTTCTGACACCAAGCAGGACCCCACTGCAGTGCCTGAGGACAAAAGAGCAGTGAGTGAGCGGGGCTGCCCTTGACTCAGTCAGGTCCCGTACGCAGCAGGGTGAGGGCGCCAGCACACCGTGACATCTGGGGATGTACGGGAGGGGACTGCAGACACTCAGGTAGAAGATCCTCTTCTTTCCGTCCACCGAGGTGTCCACGGCAGTCCACGGCTGCCTGGCCATGCTCAGGGCACTCAGGTCATACTCATTCCCAGCTGGGTCTGGAATGGAAGGAAACACTATGGAAAACTGTTTCCTGTTTGCCCGGGTACCAGTTTCCCCGTAATGTAAAGACTGCCAGGATGCAGGAGCACCTTGCGAGACACAGGAAAACCCACAAGAAGCCTGGCCTACAGCAACAAACCAGTGTCCCGCTGGGAAAGCCGTTACAGGTCAGTACAAAGATTGAGGGTCAGGGCACAACTAAGGAACTTTTAGGTCTTATACCATTTTTCTTCCTTATATGAACTTCTGATATACATCTATATTTGATTTTCTATTTTATTTGAGTTTTCTTCTCAATTCTTAGGAGCAACTGACCCCTGAACCATATTTTAAACCCTTAACTGTATGGTGGGGGGATCTCCTCAAGAGAAACATTTACACCACTAAGCAGTACTTAAAAACAGGCAACAATCACCATATTACATGAAGCAAAGTATACAGGCCCCATTGACAAATGGTCATCTTGCTTTCAAGCATGTAAACACTCACAGACAATACACACACACACACACACACACACACACACACACACATGTGCACACACTCTCACTCAAACCCAGCTTGCTAACTTCTAGGCCTCACCAGTCACTTGGCAATCTACTCGAGAAGGAACACAAGCCAATGCAGTTTCAAACTCAAAGAAAGTGTTCCGGATCCCTCGTGTAGAGTCGATGTCCTGATGCAGAAACTTGGCGGTTCCCGGGTAAATGTCATCGTTGCAAATGAAACGGATGATGAATGCTGTGCCTGTGGAAGAAGACAGCCACTATTCAGCAGGCATCTCAGACTCGGGACAGCAAGGGCAGGAGAGCTCACAGCCATCCCCAGGACCACACAGCAGGAGCCTAATCTGAACAGAGCAAAGATATGCTACCAGCAATTCTGCCTGACACGACAGCAATTCTGATTAGGCCACGGGGTCATGAAGCATTCACATCTCACAGCAGTTTATCAATCTATCAGAAAACAGAGCAACTTTTATTTCCTGACTTTCCCTCCAGCGAACTATACCTACTACTCCCCTGCAAGGCTGAAAGGAGCAGAAGGTACACCCTGAGTAAGTACAGAGAACTGACTGGGCTAAGGGAGACATTATTTTGCAAAATCATACAGGACAAGAGACCACACAGGCAAAGCAAGGAGACCACCCCAGAGCTGACCACTGCTGGCTTCCACTCCATGTATAGCCTGGAGCCACAGGAGTACTCTAGCTGGGAGGAACACATCGAATCAGACATTGTAAAAATGCCACTGGCACTCTTCTGTGAGGCCAGAAATGGGAAAGCCAAGAAAGCTGCTGTGGCAAGGTGGGTGGGGCTCTCATTCCAGAATTCCTGAGCCATCAATCAGCGGGCCGAGTTCCCATAAAACACACTTCAGTGTCCAGGAGCATCACCACCTCCCCTTTGCTTGGCTAAAGAGGTAAGACAAACTAAGGAAGCACAAGTGAGGGCCCAGGCATAGCCTTAGCCCAGCCCAGAGTCTCACAGCAGCCATTAGATGCTCCCCAAGGCTAATACAGGTCGGGCAGGAGCATTTTCAAACTCGAGCCTGAAAGGAAGATGACAGAAAAGTGATCAGCCAATATTATTTGATCTAGTGATCTGCAACTGGAGAGCAAAGAACTACAAAATGAGCCGCACTGTGGCTTTGTGAGCACTGAGGAGAAACAGATGCTGCCATCCTAGCATCAGAGACTGCCCGCACGGAAGAGAACCATGATCCCTCTATACTCTGTCAACCTGAGCTCCCAACCCCCACCCCCACCCCCGGAAAACTGCCCAAGGCTCTAGTACTAGCCCCTTCTACTCAGTAAAAGGGCTGCAGGAGCCCGTCCTGTGAGGCACCCTGAAGCAGCGCTGGCTGGAGACCATGTGCTCATGCAGCCTTTCAAAGCACCCACAGGAAGGACACTGAAGGCTGGCCCGCTCACCCCCAAGCAGCCAACATAGCCACACACATTCTTTAGCCAACTATAACGATCCCTTGCAACTGCAGCCATTGGTCCATGCCATCTCCAGCCCACTTCCTTCTCTGGTAGAACCCCTTCCAGACCAGGCACTCTCAACCCTGCATGCACTCTTTTCAAAAGTTTATTCAAAACATTTTCAATTAGTTTTAATTTTTGTATTTCTAACTGCCACACAATAGCTACATATTCACTGGACACACGTGAATTCACTGTTTAATCCATGTATAGGACAGGCAGTTATCAGATCAGAGCAAGCGGGACGGGTACTTCATCACCTCCTAAACCAGTCCTACATCGGAACACCAATGTTCTCCTCTGCTAACTACTTAGAAACACAACAGGTGCTGTCAACTCTAACCACCTCTGCTGTATAGAACACCATTTCTCCTAATCAACACACTCCTACACCTGCTAATCAAACTCTGTCCATACCTCCCGACCCCAGGCTCTGATAACTACTACTGTACTCTATGCTTCAAGATCAAGTGTTTACCACAGTTTCCACACACAGGTGAGAACAGCAGGGTTTCCCTGTGTCCAACTTACTTGACTTAACAAGTTTCCTACTGCCAGGCAAACTGATTCAAATGACAGATTTTTCACTCATTTTTAGCACTGTATACTGATTAGACATGGGCACAGAGGGGGAGAGACAGGGGGAGAGGGGGAGAGGGAGAAAGGGAGAGAGGGAGAGAGAAAGAGAGAGAGAGACACAGACAGACAGACAGACACAGGGGGAGAGAGAGAGAGACAGGGAGAGAGAGAGGGAGAGAGAGAGAGAGATCTACCCATCGTTTGAAGAAACCCTAGCTGATTCCATACACGGGCTGTTGTGAAAAGGCTGCAATAAATACAAGTACTGCTGCCCAATGTGCTGATTTCAATGCCCCGGATATATACAGCACAGTGGAATGCTAGATAACACAGACACTGCTTCTACATGTAACTATTTTTCTAGACTTCTGGTCCTCAGTTTGTGTGGCTGTGTGGCTGTATGGCCTGCCACGGAGCACATGAGGAGGGTAGAAGAGAAGTTTACAGCACCAGTTTTCTCCTTCCACCTGTACGTAGCTGGATCCAGAAATCAAGTCATCAAATCTCAGGTCATCAGATTTACAGCATCGACAGCTATTAACTAACTCAGCCAGCCATCTCTTTGGCTCAAGGTATTGGGGTATTCCAGGTTGGCCTCAAACTTGCAATCCCCCTCTTTACCCACCGAATGCTGGGCAGTGCAGCCATGTGTAATGTGGTATAGGAGGGTCTTCTATGTATTGCTTTCATTAGTTGAATAAAGAAACTGCCTTGGCCTTTTGATAGGGCAACCCTTAGGTTGGCGGAGTAGAAAGAACAGAATGCTGGGAAGAAGGGAAGTATAGCAGATGCCATGAATCTCCGGCCTGAGATGGACATAGGTTAGAATCTTGCCAGTAAGCCACAGTCACGTAGAGATACATAGATTTAATAGAAATGGGTTAATCGAGAAGTGAGAGTTAGCCAATAAAAGGCTAGAGCTAATGGGCCAGGCAGTAATTTAATTAATACAATTTCTGTGTGGTTATTTTGGGGGTTAAGCTAGCCGAGCAGCTTCCTGGGCTGTGCTGCCAGTACGAACTCTGGCTATGAAGCATTTCAATGACATTTGGGGGCCCCAGGTGTTTTTGTGCCAGCTAGGGTTAGGAGAAAAATGGCTGAGACCATGCCTGTGACTCAGCGCTCCCTGCCTCAGCAGGCAGCGGGATCAGGTTGACTAGGTGTGCACAAGCAGGAGAGCATGGCGGATTTCTGCCGCCATACAGAGAGATGTTTCCAGGCTGCACAGTGCTCTGCATAGCAGATTTGGCTATAACTCAGATAAAAGGAGTTTATGTGCTGCACGCTCATTCTCAGAGTTAAAAGTGCTGAGTGCGGCTCCTACCTGGCGGCCCCAGAGCTAGCAGAAATGGTACGTCCACCATTTTCAAATTGGAGAAAGGCAGAGGCAACATCCAGAATAGCTGCAATCAAGCTGCTTACCATTTTAAAAGCTCTTCAAGACAGCAGAGAATTACAGACAATGCAACAGGACCAATTCAGACATAAAAAGACCTCTAAATGGGTCACAATGTTGAATAAATGTACGGAGCCTTGAAAGATAAAAGATAAAGAGTATAGAGACTCATAAAATAAAGTTAATGCTTTTTAAAAAAAGGATAAAGTCTTTAAAGAGAGAGTACAGAGAGTCATAGATTAAAAGAAGTAAAGAGAAATAAGCCACATAGAGATGGAAAATTCACAGAGAGTATGTAATATTGTGTTTTCCTTAAATTTTTTGACTGTGAAGGAGCTAAGTACAGAGAGATGTTTCATTATATGGGCTGCCAAGCTAATCAGCATGTATATTCTAAAGATATCTCAACTTCAGAATTTGGGTTTAAGGATATGATGCTTTGGAAAAGAGGTTCTTCTTTTGTTTTCACAGAAGATGAGACCCTGTGGATTGCTTCTAGACCAATATGGTATAATATACCACACCCTCCTGAAAGGTTGCTATAAACACCCTCAAAAACTTACTATGCTCAACTGCAAACTGAGATAAACCTAGCATACAGGATACACCATGAAAGACCTGATTAACAGCACCCCCATATAGCAGGAAGAAGTTTGGAGAGAAATAACTATGCCCATATTCACAAATATTGTTTATAAATGCTCTTTTACATTTAAAGGGGGATATGATATAGATATGAATAATTTGCATTGGTGTAAATCTTGGTTTATTGATACAAGTTTAAGGTCAATTTTGTTATTATATATGTATTTCTGATCTTGATTAAGGTATTATGATTGTGTAGTTCACTTAAGTGTAATGTATAATAATTAGAAAATATAGGTTGTTAATGGATAATCATCGATAGTAGTCAAGCTTGTAGTCATGTTAGTTAGATTTTCTAGATATGTAGAGATATATTTCAGTTAGATAGGCATTCTTCATGTCTTCTCACTTATGTATGTCGTCAATCTCTTTCCTCAGTGTTTGTAACTTTCACTGTAGAGGCCATGCACTTCCTTGGTTAAATTTATTCCCAGGTTTGGTTCTTTTATTTTTGTGCTGCTTATTAATAAAATGTCCTCCTGGTTCCAACTGTCTATCTCTTCTGAGATAAGGCATTTTCCACTGGAAAGGGCGGAGGCCCCTGAAACTCTCCAGTAAGTTACAAGGCTCACACAGCCCTAGCCAAGAGACAGAGTCAGCAGCAACTGCTGGCAGGGGTTCTGTAGAGCTTCCTGAAAGCTGCACACGGCGGCACCTCTGGAGATGCAGCCTTCCCAGGTCCTGAGTCCACTCATCAATTCCAACAGTATTTTTTTTAATTCATTTATTAATTAATTGAAGATTTCTGTCTCTTCCCCACCGCCGCCTCCCCTTTCCCTCCCCCTCCCACAATCAAGTCCCCCTCCCTCATCAGCCCAAAGAGCAATCAGGGTTCCCTGCTGAGAGCCGAAATTTTCCCAGTATAAAGTCACCCCAGATGCAAATGTGACCTCACATCTGACCCTGTACCTGAATACCAATACTAGTAATGCTATCTGAATGTTCTGTCCTACTCCTGATTTAGAGCAAGCTCTTTCAGTTTTCCCATCCATATGGTGTAGGTCATGGGCACTTGCCTTAATTTCCACTTAGGGAGTTTTATCAAGGAGATATGCTGAACTTTGCCAAACACTGTCCTGCACTGAGATAACCATGTGCTCTAGGCTTTCATTAGCTAACAATGTATCATTGTTCTCAATCTGCACTGTGTTGAGCCAGTCTTGATACTTGTACTTGTGATAAGTACACTGTTTTTAGGTATTGATAGATTTGACTTGCTATTATTTTGTTGAAAATTTCTGTGTCTATATTCATCAGAGATACTGGTCTGTAGCTCTGCGTTCTGTGATCTGGCTTTGTTCTGGCATCCTCAGCCTGTTCGCACTGGGGAATGGTGGCCTGGCACCGTGAGTAGCACAGGGTCTCTCCCCTTCAATGCAGCACTTTCAGGGGCTTCCACAGTGCACAGATGAGGTTCAGTATGGAGCAATCTGGTCCTCCCTCCTATCTGCCAGAGACAAATTCTTACTGCTGATTTAATCCTGCCACCCCTTACTGCTCTGTTCAAATTTTGTGCCTCACGATCCAATCCTACCAAGTTACAGTACCAAGAGCATATCCATTTCCTCTGCTGTTCTGATGCTGGCACGCAGCTGGCCACAGCGGTCCTTAGTGACCATTTGCCGTCTGTGGCAGACGCTGTTGTTAGTGCTGCACTTCCAACATCTGTGAACTTGAGATGTGAAGCAGAAAGAAGCAAGAAGACAAGACTACGGTCTCCAGCGCAAATAATCTGAGAAGGAAGCTCCACTCCTTCCCGGTGCCCACTAAGATGGCTGGAGCATGTTGAGCAACCCAGCACACAAACATCACCTCAGTCCACTCAGATTCCAGTGATGGAAAGGCACTGCCTATTAACAGTGTGACCTGGAAAGCAACCACACCCCTGGGCCTCTTTCCTCATCTGTAAGTCAATAGGTGGCGGAGCCAATAACATGACCCATCCCTCTTGGATCTCACTCTGATGTAATCCTCCATGGACCACAGGCTCTGTAGCAAACACAAGACCCTTCTGTCTTCTAGTACTGCAGATGTGCAATGCAGCAGTAATTGAGGACAAAAGGAGGCTAAGCCAGGTGTGATGGCCCAAGCCTTTGCTCCTAGAAAGGTAGACACAAGCAAAAGTGAGTCTGAGGACACCTGGTTTACCGAGTCAGAGCCAGGAAAGCCAAGGCCACAGAGTAAAAGCCTGTCTCAAATGGAAAAGAGAAAAGACAGAGCTGGGATGAGAATTCATCGTACATACAGTATCTTAACCAAGTCCTGGCACACTTTGCCTGCTGGAGCTATCCACTGACGCGGATGCTGGCATTATAAAGGGCTCAGAACTGATCTTGCACTAACTAACAAAAGACGGTAACAAATAAGTACTAACAAGCTCAACATCTCCAGACTGTTATACAGAACCACAGTGCCCAAGAAAGGAGACAGGAGGAAAGGACCAACTTAGAAAAATGAGTAACTTAGATCATTACTCATCACTTCTTTAGTACCTAAAGGAATGCAATTAACAACCCCCCTCTGAAGAACTGGGGTGCAAGATAAAAAGAAGAGGTGGTCAGTGTGTGCACAAGTGCCCCCAAGGGAAGACGTTGGTAAGTGCTCTAGGAGAGAGAATACCAGCAGAGATTAAAGGCAGACTTGGCAGAACACAAATCAGCTCACCTTTGTCTGAGGAAGAAGACGACCCTTTGTAGGTCAGAGTGAGGAATCCCTCAGTAGACAACTGGAGGCTCTTTTCCATTCCCACTGGCCTTTCTGGTTTCAGGTTCTCCAATTCTGTCTGGGTTCCTGCCTCACAGCCAAAGGCTAGCTTTTCTTTGTCCGTTACACAGACAGGCATTGTACCACAGATATTGAACTGGAAGCCAAACAGGAAAAAAAAAGAAGAAAAAACAAACAAACAAACAAAAACAACCATTTAGGTTCCAAGACTTACCACAGAAAAGCAGCCTAGAACCCAAAGTACTGCTGGGTTAAATATCTGGTTATCACCAGTCAGTTTATCAACTTTGGGACAGCTAGTTCTCAAACACAGAAAGGTAAAACCCCATGTCTAAATAACAATACCTGTGCAAATTCCTCTAGAGTTTAGCGCATGGTGTTTTATGGTCTTGTTTATACAATGCTCTGTCTGTAAATCTAATTACTACAAGCAATTATGAACGATATACTAGGGAGTGATACAAACCACTTTACAGTGTCTTTAATCACATGGAGAAAGTATACAGTTAAGTCTTAACTGTAAACAACCGAAGCCCCTGATTTTTTAAAGACATTGATTCTATTTAAAAAGCAGACATGTTTGTTGTAGTTATGTAAAGAAATCAACTCTGGGGAAGAGGCCACCAAATGTGCAGGGCAGCTGGACCCAGCAGGATGGGGGACAGGGCTGGACAGTAAGGGGCAGGAGTCTACAGCCCTGGCTGGGATGTGGTGGCCCCACAGACAGGTGACCCGCTGCAGCACATGAGTGCAGGCGCTCTTCCAGGCAGCTGCATTGCTACTTCTGTTACCCACTCATCTGTCACCTGCAACCAAGAGCCACAACACCACACATGCTCCTAACAGCGTGGTTAGTGACGAGGCGGGGTCTCGCTGGTTTGCTTCTGGTGCATTCTTTATGTAGCCCGTGGTCATCTTTCTCAGCACATCCTCTATGTGGTGCAGCATCTGCCTGTCACACTGATACAGGCTCTGACCTGTGGAATCCTAATCACTGAACCACCTGATACAGACCACACACTCTGCAGCTACACTAGAGCTAGCCCTAACACCGAGACCCTTCCGTGTTCCTATCTGAGTATGGGGTGGAGAGAGCCCATGGAAGCACTCAGGAGAGTGGGGAAGAGAACGGGGCCGAGAGGACAAATCCTTCTCTACATGTGGGGTGGAGAGAGCCCAGTTCTCCAGCTAGGGACAGTTGTCAGAATGCTCCTCTCACTAATCTATGGTAGGGCACTCTCACTCACCTTCTTGTTTTCAAAGCCACTGTCCCTAAGATGACTGCCAGAACGTAAAGCAATTGTTTTAGGGGCTCTCTCCCTTCGAGTAGCTGAAGTGATACCTTGAGAAGACTTTGCATTTTAGGGCTCTAGGCATTCACAGAACAGTCTACAAAGGAAGTACCCTTGGAAGAGTCTAGAACACAGCCCTCGGTGGCCTCCCTTTAATCTCCATTTCTTCTTGACCAGTGTGTCTCAAACTTCAGTGAGCATCAAAACCATCTGATGGACCTCCTGAAGCAGACTCGGAGCCCACCACAGACAAGTCAGGATGCCCACAGCAGGCCCAGGAATCAGGTTTTAACAAGGTCCTGACTGTCACTCTGCTGCTGCTTCTTGGGAACTCTGGACACACAGCAGCAGGTGAGGACTGGTGACTGCTCCCATCGGGCCCACGTGATGACGTCACTTCATTACCCGCCCCCAGTCTGGAGCTTCTTTCTGCCCTGGGCAAGCACTAAGGACGCAGCTGCAAGTGCCTTGGGTGTGGTGAGCCTCATTTAAAGCAAACTAGAAATCTACTGCATCATTCTTACCAAAAAAGTCTTTCCAATGCCAGAGACCACGTATCCTTGAGAGCTGTTCAGTGGGCTAAGATTAAACACAAATCCACTGTTGGGGTCCCTTATAGAGCAAGCCTATCAGAAACAAGAAAGGGAAATAAACACATTTAAACTAATTCTACAGGAGCAAAACAAACATGCAGTCCGGAAACTCACATCAACACTTAGAGGCTGTACTTGCTACTCACTTTAAATCCCTATGGAGCAACAGTGTGTTTGTGCCCAGCCGGCACCAATGTAGGATGCGTGTGCAGAAGAATGGAACTCACCCCATGGGGGCTAAACTACTACAATACCCAAGTAAGACCACTGTTAATCCTAAGGTAGGTGGTACAGCAATCATTTTTACATTCAAAAATAAATAAAATGTAAGACTTCTCTCTCATCGCCATGAATGCACCTATGAGAATATATATAACTGAATCAACTCACAGGCAATTTCCTCCCTTCCTCTAAGTACACCTCAGCCTCCCGTGTCCACCAAGTACAGGCTAGCCGTCAGAGCCCTGGGCATGGGCAGGGTAGGGTGCCTGAGACGACTACTGGCCCTGAGCTGAGGCCATCGCTTTGTGTACCAGTCCAGGTGTCTGCTGCCAAACTCTGCAGTCTGGTAGGAAATCAGAAGGATGGGAGGGAAACACGTCCCACTATAAAGAGTGCACACGCAGTTCCATAAGAACAACTTACTGCAGTAGCCCAGGAGGGCAGCGAAGAACTCAGAGAGCAGGGTACTCTACACTGCACAGGGCAGGATGAGCAGCCAGCCTTCGGCAGAGGATAAGGATCTCCCATACAGACATCGGCATGAGACCCTGGCTACACACTGTGGGTGAGGGAGGGCACAGCACACAGGTAAACTCTACTCTGTGTGTGAGGTACCATGAATCACTGAGTTCCACCCTGTGTAAAAGGTCACAGCGGAACACATGTGCTAACTCTTAAGATCCATGAAGCACTGGGTTCCTCCTAGTAGGTAAAGTCACAGCAGACACGTGGGCTTTACTCTGTCAATGAGATCCCATGAGGCAGTAGGCTCCACCCTGTGGACAAGGTCATAGCCCTCTCCTGGGTCTCATTGTATCAGACACTGATATGTTCTGGAATGGAGTAATGGGAATCTACAGACCCCTGGCAGTGATGGAGAGCCTACTAGGATGCACTGCACAGGGAAAGGATAGTGAGCCAGGTGGAGACAGAGGCAGGTGGATCTCTCTGAGTTTGAAGCCAGCCTGGTCTACAGAGCAAGTTCCAGGACAGCTTAGGCTGTTAAATAAAAATACCTTGTCAGGGGTTGGGGGGTTGGGAGGGGGGAAATTTCAGTGAGCAAGGCATCAAGCTGGGGGTCCTGGAAATCTAGGTACCAAGGGTAGGGAGGATGTGTGAATCAAAAAGCAGGGATGGAGGCGATGCAAAGTCAGTCTGAGCATGGGCAAGGTGACAGCACACTTACCTGGTCTGTGTCTGTGATCGTCTGGATAGGGCAGGCAGCCTCTGTGTTCCACAGGAAACTGACCACACATTCCCAGTTGTGAGTGAAGATGGGGTGGGTGTTCTGGAAGGCCACAGCGCAGAGAGAAATCAGCAGGACAGCAACACAACAGGCCCACATGCACTAACTTCCTCCCTAGGGCACAATGCTCTCGTTGCCCCATAGGAGAGGTCAGCTCACATGCCTGGACATTAGCATATCTGAATTCACGCCAGCAGTAAATGGGGAAAATGGGATCCAGATGGCTGAAACCGAGCCTACATACCCAGAGTCGAAGCAACCAGAAAGCTACTAGACAAAACTGGTTTGCGTGTCAAGGAAGGGCTGAGAAGCCACAGAAAGAGGTACAGGGGAGCTTCTAGGTGGGACACAGCGTGTTTTGTGACTTGGGTCTGATTACACAGATGTGCTAACGTGTGCTATTACTGGCTTTTAGTTTATGGGTTTCTATCTCGAGTGCTGTCTCCATCCCAGGCAGCAGTGGCTCACTCTTAGCTAGTGAGACAGCACAGCAAAGACTACTGGAAAATGCACTGGAACTCTGTAACCAATAGCCACAGCCCACATACAAGCACCCTACCTATAGGCCCTACCCACACTCTCCTCATCAGTCCTGAAAGCAAGCAGAAAGACCCAGGCTTTGCCTATGGTAACTCCCATGAGCCTGACCTCCCTGTATCTCCTTCAGTAGTCTTGCCTAGGCCCGCACTATGCACCAAGCCCACAGGACACCCAGCTCAGCCACTGTGGGAAAGCACTTGAAAAACTAAGAAGGGTCTGGAAGAATCTTCTGGAACTAAAAGAGTCTAAGACAGGGCTCCTACACACCCAGGACACGGGCTGCCAGGAGCAGATGGAAATGAAACCAGCAGCTGTCCACCTTGTCCACCTGTGTAAGGCAAGGGGTCCTCAGGGACCACAGGCCCAGGATCACTCAGCCAGTCATTTCATACCCTCAGAGATCTGCGCAAAGAACAAGTTTCCTGTCTGTGCGATACCGGATACCAGGCCTCACATCCACTGGACTAGACCCCAGCAGAATCCAGAAGCATCTAATTCCTGTCAGCAAGTCAAACTCAAAACTGATAGCAAAAAGCGGGGCGTTGGTGGCACACGCCTTTAACCCCAGCACTCAAGGGGCAGAGCTGCAGGAGCTCAAGGCCAGTCTGGCTGCCAGGGAGCCACACAGTGAGGCCCAAATCTCACACAATTAAAACCTGACCCCTAAAAGTCCTACACATCTGGTGACAAGTGTGCAGTACCAATGATGGACATAATGTTCTTGGTAACCCAAAAATGCCTAAAGTGACCAATTTTATGCCCTGGGTATTTGCTGCAATTTTTTTTTACAAGTATAGAAGTGCACATGCTGGCCCTGCGCGCTTTTCCGCAGCTCCTGCCACAACTTCGGCACAGCACTCACCAGGCGTCCCCGACCACAGACGAGATGGATCCTGGTGCTGTAGGTGGTTAGTCGGCCATCACTGGTGGTGCAAGCAGAGCCGTTCACATATTCTAAGAGGAGGCTGCCACTCTCCTCCACCACAGGGCCTGTCTTTGCAACTCCCAAGTTACTGATGGATACAGTCTCAGCCAAGGAGCCCTGCAACATAGTGTGGGTGAGATTTCTCCTGCAAAGTTTTACTCCTCAGCAAGTCAGCTTGCTGCTCAACAGTAGTCAGAGCCTATGACGTCACCACTAACAACTGTGTGAGCAGGCAAACAAAAGTGAGGAGTCCCCAAGCAGGAGGACAGCTACGCTCAGAGGCTACTGCTCTGGGGAAGAACACATCCCCGTGAGGTACAGCCTCAGACACCTCTGAGCACCAGAGCATACCACTAGAATGTGCTAACAAAGCAAATCCTCACACTGCTTCTGCAGAAGTCAACTTCTGGAGTCCACCTACAACTTTCATGGCCCACCACATGTGAGGACCACAAAGAAACGTACGAAAGCCCTGCCAATGAGAGCAATCAAGCAGATGATGAAGTGTTAACAGTCAGAGTGGTACTGACGCATGCACCTGAGCCATCTCAGCAATTCTGTCAAATCCTGGAGACCTCTGGGCAGCTGAGGCTCTGAGCTGTGAAGTCTGCAGAGTCACTCGGGGACCTAAATTCGGGTCAGACATAACCAAGAGAGCCCTCTGCAATGTGCTGAACCAAAAGTGGCCAGGGGACATTTTAAGACTGAACAAAGACTCTAAGCCTGCTCCGGAGGTTCACTGTGCGGCCACTCTCCTCAGAGGCTTCAGCTGGGCAGCAGGACAGGCCTGATCAAGAGCTATACAACAGCTACCTTCACACACTAAGCCTCAGACTCCAGAGAAAACGTGAGAACGGCAGACACACCTCCTTGTTTTCATATCTCATCTGGCAAGCAGAAGCATATCGATCACAGCCAGGCACAGGATTCAGAGGCCGGCACACGTTGAGGTAGTATTTCCTCCGTGTGACATGTTCCCGGGAGTTTTCCATGGCGTACCAGTTTCCTCCACGGCCACCTTCAGACTTCACTAGACTAAAGTTTTAACACAAAGGTATGCTTTTAAAACTTCGAACCAGATAAGGTTAGGCTGTTAATGTTTACTCATTAGAGAAATAAAGACATTCTCAAAGGAGACACACTTGAATCAAGCCACAGATGGTGCCTGACCACAGGACACGCCATAACACTGACATTCTGAAGCTCCACACGCAGAGGACCCTTCAGAATTCACACACACACCATACACTAAGCTACCGTTTTAGACAATGAAGCTACACATTGTCTTTGCTGTGACAAAGATCAATTATTGTCAGAAAGGTGGTGAGATCAGACCACATCCACCTCCTTTCTGCTCTGTCTCTCCTGGTCCTGCACCCTGAGGCCAACACAATGCCTATCACCATCAACTGAACCATCTGCTCACCAGTGACCACACCTGAGGAAGGCCCACGGCCAACTGCTGGCTCTGCTCACCTAGAGAGGTCATACTGTTCCATCATGGAGGGGTCTGTCACCATGCACTCCAGGGGCTCTTCTGGGCAGGCATAACTGGTGTACCACCGGAAGTTGTAGGTAGAGTTGTCCTCTTCCTAATCCCAGGACAAGGAAACATAAAAGGGTACGGCTGGAGTCTACATCTGGAGCATCCCCCAAAGACCACCCAGGGAATCCTGGCCCTCGCTCAACACTATGGAGCATGATGGAACCTTCAAACACGTGCACAAAGGAGAAGCAGACATGCACAGAGTAGCTCTCCAGCTCTCTAGTTCCTTCCTTGTTCTCTTGCTTCCTGGTTTTGAAGTAAATGGTTCACTCTCTGTCAGGACCAAAGCAATGAGCCAACCAACCACGGACTGAAACCTACAAGACTGGGTGGCAAAATACCCTTTCCTAAACTGCACACCCGTGTGTTTGCTCCAGTTACAGAAGCTGAGGATGGAAGAAGAAAAGGAGATACTATGCAAAGAGCTTTAAAAAGAAAAATGACTCTAAGTAAAAGTTACTAAAAAGACGGCCTCGTCAAAAACTATAATGGAATCTTGATAAGGGAAAAATGAGGGTGATTTTTTTTTAAGCTTTTGCAAGTTTTCTAAAAGAACAAACAGGGCTGTGGACTAGCACTAAGATAGACGGGCCTTTGAATAAGCAGCTTAACATGTGACTAAATACTGCCTAGGCACCCTGAGAACTGCGAAAGGACTAATTACATGACGGTCTGGCCAGAAAAACAGACTAATAATAGCTCAGTTTCTACTGGAAGGGCAGGCAACTGGCCCAGGTCTGCCCAGGCCAACTGCCTGAGACTTTCCCCACCTGATATTCTGGGAAGCCCACTCCAGCGTCTCGGTCACAAAGAAAGGTGATCAGTGTGGCTCTCGGTGTGTGCTTTTCATTGTTATAAGGCGTGCCATCCCTGTAGCTCAGCTGGATCATCCCATCATAGTAAGAAAGGATAGTATTGCTCAGCCCCAGGTTCCAAGACTTCTTATCACTACAGTGAATACAGAAATGTCACTCAGGAAGTCCCATGGATCAGGAGTTCACCAAGGCTGCACAAATGGGGGCAAATGCAGTACCTGGGAATCTCATATGCAGCTCTTCAGACTGTAGGAGGAAAAAAGCAACACACACACATACGCACGCGCCCAACTTTCAGCACTACTAGCTTACAGTGCATCTCAATTCATTACAACTAACACTACTCAGTAAGGAGAAATACATATATGTATATGTATGAAGTGTAAAGCTCAAAGTTCACAGAAGTGGGTATCAAATGAGCCCAGACCTTTCTCTACCTCCTAGGATAAGGCTTGCCCCTTCTCTGGGAAGTTCAGCTCCTGGCATCCTGCAGGTTTTTCTGACCAGGTCTCCTCAGTATTTAAATGCTTGTCAAACAATGATGTTCAAGGGGAACCTAACTCAGTGAAACACACACTAGCACAGTACAAGGAACAAATCACAATGAGAGGCCACTTGCCTTTTTGCTACCTGGCAGGCCCCTGAGTTTGGCTGGCAAGGGTCCATGGATACAGGGCCACAAACATTTATGTAGAAATCATACTTCTCTGTCTCAACTTTATAAGCACCATTCTTCTTTGTGAGAGGAGACAAATCAAAAGAGAACCCTAAAACAGAAATAGGGACGTACGTTAGGCCAGTGAGGACACGGGAGACTGGTGAGTGCACATGTTCTCTGAGAGCAATCACTCCAGGGCAGTGACAGTGAGGAAGAAAGGTCACTCTGCCTTCATGCTCCCATTCCTGCAGTGACCGCCACCGACTCCCTTGGATACAGGTCCTCGCCACTGCCCTTTTTCATTGTGGGAACTCTGAAACCCTATTAGATCTTGCAACTCCAGATCTCACAAACATGGCATATCCAAGCATGATGACTAGACTGTGAGGGTTTTCTGTAGAGTCCCCTAACAAGGGGTTCTTGCCTAGGATTCACGCAAAAAGCCTTCCAAATGTGGATGTGGATCTCCTATTGCTCAAGTATACCCAGCCCAGCTACAAATTCAAGATGGGCTCTGCCACAGCTCAAACACACAACAAAAGATGCTTGGCACTCCAGTTCAGTGGCACTAACAGAGTTCTAAGACAAGGACCTCCAACAGTCATATAAAGTGTTAACAAAAGCTTTCTTTGGCCCCAAGTTACATTAGACAACAGAGACATTGCTTAGGCACACACCTGCCTGGGCATCAAAGACCGTGCAGTTCTCTCCTTCTGTCTTCGACAACACACAGGCAGCAGCTGTGTGCCACTCAAATTCATAGAAGCAACCATCAGGTCCTGTAGTTCTCAACACTGGAGCACTTTCTAGATCACCTGTCAAAGGGAAAGGGGAGGGGGGAGATCAACCACGAATCTGTTGGTTCTAATAATTTTCCCTGTTCTAGCTGTTTTGAAAGTCCTGGGAAAGATAAGGTTACAAAATGGTCCTAAAGAGTTGGGGATGTGGTCCATTTAGTAGAGTGTCTAGCATGCACACAGCCCTGTGTTCAATTTCCAGCCCTGCATAGAGCAGACATGGTAGCACACACCTATCAATAATACCAGTACTCAGAAGGTGGAAATATGTTCTACCAAAATAAAACAAGAAACAAAATAGTTCTAGCATGTGACCTCCCACGGCTGGGAATTTATACAAAGGAAGCTTTACAGGACGGATATAGAGAGGATGTAAAGCATCCAAACTCCCAGCAATGAAATGTTCTAAAATAGTTAAGACTGTGCCATGTCAATAAGGAAATCCCTAGAAATTATAAATAGAACTATGAAGCATGGAATGCACAAACACAGCATTCTGAGGACAGCAAAATACATGCACAGATGCAGATCTTAGCAAAAGGACCAGAAACTCCTCAGTTCAGTGAGAGGTAATCACAGCTCAGAGGGTGAGATCAAGGAAACATTTTAAGGCATTTATGACCCCTCCCGAGGAAGTTCAGCATTCCATACCCCTTTATCCTCTCTCAGGCCTTAAGAACAGGATATTATGCAGAGAGACTCACGACTCTCCTGGAAAATGTCAACATCACTCCCTGAGGATAGCATATGGTTTCTCCATTTCTAGGCTGAAATCTAATCAACTTATTGTTCCCATCAGCAGAGACTAGAACCAGTGGTGCTCAGCTCTGCCCCTTCCGCCCCACCCCACTGCAGCTGATGGGGAACGTGGGCACGCCTCTCCTGTGACAGTACCTGGTTTGCACACGAGTGTGATGTTAGTTGTTATCTTCTTAGCATTACCACAGTCGTCACCATCAGAGTAAGAGAGCTGCATGTGTCCTTTCTCTTTTGTAGGAGAAGAAACAAATTTTCCGAGGTTCTTACTTCCATTCTTATCTTGAAAAAAGGAGGGACCATAAGATATGCTGGGAAAGTCTCATTGCACAGACATAAAATTACATCAAAACTCAGCCAAATGCCAACAGGATACCACACCCTCTTCTCAGCCCACCTGACCTGGCCGGAATGGAAACAGGTTTTCTTGAAAGAAAAAATAAACAGTCACCTAAGACCACCTCCTGACTCCGCAGGATCAGGCTGGGACTGACATGCGGGATTCCCCCAAAGACACCTTATGGTCAGGTTGGTGTGTGCACCATCACTGTCTATTCCATGCCCAGGGCCTCAGCCACCCTGAGACACAGGATGCTGGAAAGCACAGCCAAACCACAGGCTTTACTCACAAGCAAGCAGAAACACACATATGTGGCACCCACATTGAATTACTGGCTCAGCTGCTTTTCAAAGATGTTTATGCCTGAGTCCTTAGTAAGACAAGAACAAACACCACGTACTTTGAGACACATCTCTGGTTCTGAACACCAGGGTAATCCCCAAATCCGACTAAGCCTAATTCTGCGTCTGTGTTCCTAACAGAGTCTATGTGCTCTCTTCCTGGAATTTTCAAATTGCGCCATAACTGACACACAGCTCTGTGACACACGAGATAACAGAGACAGCAAGAACCCAAGACAGGCTGCTCAGCTGGAGGCTCCCCTAACTGTGACCAAGGCTGCTGAGAATTCAGTTAGTTTTCTGAGCACTGGAAATACTATTCTTCAGGTCACAAGATGGAGCCAGACACCGAGCATTTCCTAACACGGCTCCTGCTGCCTGGGTACACCTGTGCCAATGGGCTGCAGGACCGCAGGGCACACTGGTTCTGACACTGAAACTGTAGAACATTTAATCATCCTTAATATCTACATCCAAAAGCAGGAGGCTTACGCAGACTACATTCTACGTCTCTGCCAGGGAAGCGGTCACTAGAAAGAGGACTCCCCTCCGACTTACTCACCCACAGCACACACAGCAGCATCTTCAGGACAGTTCCTGGCCTGGCCCTCCGGCAGCACTCGGTGACAGACATTGATGAAGAAATACTTCTTCTCTGATTCAGCCTGGCCACCATCCACTGCTTCCCAGTTCTTCTCCGATTCTGCAACCAAACCCAACATCTGTTAGTCCTTAGGGACTTTTTTCTGATGGTCACATCTTAAAACAGTGACTAAGTCAAGGTCAGACAACCCCTAGCACTCCACAGAAAGTCATGGCGTCTCCCTTTGTCACTGAGAGTGTCAGGGACAGACCATTCATTCCCCCCAACCTGCTTTCTGCAGAATAAAACCACAAACTTGTCCCACACCCTACAGAATCAAAAGATTGAACCACATCAGAAGGTCAGTCGCTGTCTTGAGCCTGGTGGAAGGGCAGTGGTCGCATGGTCACTTCAGGTCCCACAAGGGCCTGTGCAGCTAAGAGAGCTACTACTTCTTCTACAGAGGCTGGCTGGAGCAGAAGGCTGGCTCACAGAAGGTGAGGAGGATTCCACTGAATCCAAAAGGACAGGTGCTGATGGGAAGTGGGGAGGGGAGGAGCTAGGGGTAAGGACACTAGGTAAAGAAAAGAGTAGTCCTGAGAACGGACCTCCATCTCACAGATTGGTACTGCAGAACACACGGGCACACATTCGTATCAGAAATGTTCCCTTGGCAAGCTGGCAACAAGGACTTAGAAGTAAAATGCCACAGCTTGCCAGTGACAACACACAATGCTTTTGGAAAGCTAGGCTCCCAAGTCCACAGCCTTGAAGGACAGAGTGTGCCCGGGTTTCCCCCAAAGTGGGCATCGGCTGGAGCGGGTGTGGGCTGCAGGGCAGGGCAGGGCTTTGTGAAGCAGCATGGAAAGATTTCAACTAAAACTCTTCAGATTCTCCCAAAGCCAGGCAGTGGTACCCGGTCTGCTAAGGGAATTAGTGTACCTCTGCATCAACCCTCAAGATCTTAGTTTGTCTTGTAACAAACTGATACTTAAAATTTAAAAAAACAAAAACAACTGTGCTTCCCTCTGCTCCTGACTGCAGGTGCAATAGGACCAGCCATCCATGTTCCTGCTGCCAGGCCCTCCTTGCCATGACAGACTGTATCCCTTCCTGAACTGCAAGTCAATATACCCCCTTCCCTTGAGAAAAAAAACAAAACCTCATGTTGCTGTGTGTGTCTCAGAAGTACACCATGAGGGAGGAAGGGGGAGGTGACCACAGACTCCCACCACACTCGCACTTCCTTTAAAAGGCCAGCACCTGGCAATCTTCCTGAAGCCCACATTGCTGAGCTACACAAGTCGTAACAGGGTTCTATTCAGAAATCAGAGCTCTTTCCACATTGCAGAAACCCACCCTTTCATTAGCACATATACCTGGGATTCACCACGCCTTCCTGAAGCTATTTTAACTTTTATAGAAATTTCCTGTGTTCCTACAGCTTCCAGGATGCTTAACTACTAAACCATGAAGATGACTTCCTTACTCCTGAAGCAATTAGCTAACACAGATCATTTACTCTGGACCCTGAATTCCTCCAACAGTGCTTTCACACAGATGGGACTCCAAAGAGGATGGGGCAGGCAGCTACAGCTGGTACTGGTGCAAGTTAATTCTATCTTAGGAGATGCAAGGCTCCTACCAACCTACTCCAGAAACCCCCTAGGAGGGTCGGGTATTTCTGGGCATAAGCTCTCATCTACCTCACCTGCTTTCAGCAAGAAGCCACCCATGAAGGCAGTTGACACGGGAGGCTTCAGCAGTTTTCTGTCACCTCGCACCTTCCCAGTGCCTACCACCTAGCAAATGTACACCAGTCTCTATGATGAACACCTTCATACTGACATACACTGTGGGGCACACCACCATCCATGCTGGACAATCCTCCCCGATCTAGAGACCAGGGACATGCTGATCCCTTTTCAGTGGGAGCAAAGAGACAGTCATACAAAAGGGCAGAACACGGGCTGTAGACATGATGGAGCACCAGCTCCACCTATCCCCTCAGTCCCTTGTTAAATGCAATCACTGCCCTAAAAGGCTGCTGGAGAAAACTGTCTTAAAGCATACAGCACAAGGCCTGGCATAGCTGGTCCCTGAAGTTCCAAGTGAACTGGTAAGGTGAGCAACTACAAAAAGTGGGGCTTAGATGCCAGTAGTCTACGTCTTAATTCGGTGTTCCTTATAGTTTGTGCTACTGCTAGAAGAAAAAGGGGTCTACAACTCAGATGGCAATTAAAAATGTTCCCCCAAACCATTGGGATCAAATATCTTGTGGTCCCCAAAAAGGAAAGCAATACCTGAGTGGCGAGCCAACACAGACAGGTCATAACGGTTCTTGCCATCGGTAGCCCCGCAGAGGAGATCTTCCTTCTCTTTGACACAGGCATACTTCGTGTCCCACGTGAAGAAGTAGGTGCAGTCCACCTCACCTGTGAACACAGGCTCTCCTCTTCCATCTTTACCTGCACATGCAATGGGAGAACATTCGATTCAGTGATGTGACCCAAGCCCATGGACTTCTGAAGAGCCAGGGAAGAAGCAGAAATGAGGACCAACGCCAGCTGTCCGGCCAGTTGTCCAGAGATTAGAATGGCTTCAATAAAGCTGACAGTCTACGTCGCCGCCCCGTCTTCTAGCGGAGCAGTAGGGACTCTCCAAGCTTTAGGAAACACTGTTCAGTCTCTCAATGAGAAGATGGGAGAACTATTAAGCACAGGGAAGGTAGCGCGGCTCCAGGCGGCAGTGATGCTGTGAAGGGCTCACCAGGCAGTCGGAGGAGGTGACAGGATACAGGTCCAAGGGTACAGGATAAGGACGAGCAAGACCTGAGGGTCCCCCAACACCCGCACCATGGAGGCAAATGGAGGCAAATGCATGGAGATCCTGCGCAGTTACTTCAGATAAAGCATGGCAGGGTCTCACATGACCACAAAGTTAGGGGTACCTCCCAATGCTGTTGGCACCCATGCTTGCAACCTGTCAGGATATGTGTCAGGAAGGTCACACTAGAGTCAACACCACCCCTCCTCCACCCACAGAGACCCCATCCATTGCACAGAACAGGCACGGCTCTTCTCTTCCTGGGCCTCAGACAGGGCAAAGCACTGGCCCTCCCTCTGGAAACCCTAGCCCTTGGCCGTTCCCAGCTGGTGGGCCACTGGGACAAAGCTGCCCTTTTTTCCCTTGGTGTGAAACCCTTGGTGGTTTCACAGTCCCAGCTGGCTGCACCTCCCACATGCCTGCCTGCATCCTTAAGGTGTGATGCCTGGGCACAGTCACGTTCTAAGGAAAAGGGAAATTAGGTTTTACAGCCAAAAGCAAATGAGTTCTCAAGTGTAATTTCTAAAAGAAAATAAAATTTGCATCAATTCACTAGGATTGAAAGATCAAAAGTTTACCTATCCCAAATTAATCTAAGCACTAATACATTAAAGCAAAACAAATCTGGGAAACATTAATGATTGTTATAGAACAATGATGCAATCCTTTAATACAGTTCCGCATGTTGTAGTGACCTCCAACCATAAAATTGGTTCATTGCTACTTCATAACTGGAATTTTGCTACTGTTATAAATCTCAATGTAGCCTGGCGGTGGTGGTGCACGCCTTTAGTCCCAGCACTCGGGAGGCAGAGACAGGCAGATCTCTGTGATTTCGAGACCAGCCTGGTCTACAAGTGCTAGTTCCAGGACAGGCTCCAAAACCACAGAGAAACCCTGTCTCGAAAAACCAAAAAAGAAAAATGAAAGAAAAGCAAATCACAATGTAAATATCTGATAAGCAACCCCTATTGGGGTCATGACCCATGGGTTGAGAACCACCGGTATAGAGGCAGCTACATAAAATTTCATAGTAATGGCCGGGCGGTGGTGGCACACGCCTTTAATCCCAGCACTTGGGAGGCAGAGGCAGGTGGATCTCTGTGAGTTCAAGAAAAGCCACAGAGAAACCCCGTCTCGAAAAACCAAAAAAAAAAAAAAATTCATAGTAATGTTCTTCCTACTTGCATACTAAAAACTTTTGTAATAAAAAGAAAACATGAAACGCAGGTGCCCGCAGGCAACGCAGGCTGCAGGCTGCAGGCTGCGGCCGGGAAGGCCGGGACAGGCGCAGTGGCAGAGGACACAGGCAGCAGGGACCAGCGCGCAACACCGAGAGCAGATCGCCCCAATACAATTAAATCAAAGAGGTAGGCATTTGGTTGGCGAGGTCCCTGGCAAACTGGGAGCCAGGTCTTGTTCCTGAAGACCCTTCTTAGGGGTGAGAGGGATCTTGGCCCCCGGCAGGAGCCAGGAAACAAAGCCAGGGCAATTTGTAAGAGAATCTGATTTTAAAAGACCTATTAGATAGCATTGATGAGGAGATGGGCAGGCGCCAAGGCAAGAATTCACCCAATAATCTGAAAAACAACATGAAAGCACCAGAACCCAATGATCTTACAAGAGAAGGCCTTGAACACCCTAACACAGAAGAAGTGGAAAAAATTGACTTTATGAAAGCAATAGAGTCCCTTAAACAACATGTAAAAAACGCCCTTATAGAAATGGATGAGAAGTATAACAAAAAGTTTGAAGAATTAAGTAAATATGTACATGAGACCCTGGGAAACCAAGAAAAAACGAACAAACAGGTAATGGAAACAGTTCAAGAATTGAAAACTGAAATGGAAGCAAGGAAGAAAACACAAATTGAGGAACAGCTGGATATGGAAAATCTAGGTCAACGAGCAGAGCCTACAGAAACAAGCATAATCAATAGAATATAAGAGATAGAAGAAAGAATCTCAGATTCTGAGGACACCATAGAGAAAATAAATGCACTGATCAAAGAAAACAGCAAAGCCAACAAATTCTCATCACAAAACATTCAAGAAATATGGGACACAATAAAAAGACCAAACCTAAGAATAATAGGAATAGAAGAAGGAGAAGAATCACAGCTCAAAGGCCCAGAAAATATTTTTAACAAAATTATGGAAGAAAACTTTCCCAACATAAAGAAAGATATCCCCTTGAATATTCAAGAAGCATACAGAACACCAAACAGACTGGATCAAAGAAAAACATCCCCTCGCCATATAATAATCAAAACACAAAATATACAGGTTAAAGAAAGAATATTAAGAGCTGCAAAGGAAAAAGGCCAAGTAACCTATAAAGGTAAACCGATCAGAATTACACCTGACTTCTCTATGGAAACCATGAAAGCCAGAAGGTCCTGGATAGAGGTACTTCAAAAGCTAAGAGACCATGGATGCAAACCCAAACTTCTATACCCTGCCAAGCTAGTGTTCACTATCAATGGAGAAAACAAGACATTCCAGGATAAGAACAAATTTAAACAATACGTAGCCACAAATCCAGCTCTACAGAAAGTAATAGAAGGAAAATCGCAACCCAAGGAATCCAACAATGCCAACACTGACTACAATAACTCAGGCATCTAGTGAACCTTCACCAGCACAACTCAAAGAAGGGACACACACACAAACTCTACTACCAAAAAAACAATAAGAATAACCGGAGTAAACAACAATTGGTCATTAATATCACTTAATATTAATGGTCTCAATTCACCTATAAAAAGGCACAGGCTAAGAGATTGGATACGAAAACAGGATCCAACATTCTGCTGTTTGCAAGAAACACATCTCAACCACAAAGACAGGCATCTACTCAGAGTAAAAGGTTGGGAAAAGGTCTTTCAAGCAAATGGTCCTAAGAAAAAAGCAGGTGTGGCCGTACTAATTTCCAACAAAACGGACTTCAAACTAAAATCAATCAGAAGAGATCGAGAAGGACACTTTATACTCATAACAGGAACAATTCATCAGGATGACATCTCAATTCTGAATATCTATGCCCCTAATATAAAAGCACCCACTTATATAAAAGAAATATTACTAGAACTCAAGGCAGACATCAAACCACACACACTAATAGTAGGAGACTTCAACACACCTCTCTCTCCAATGGACAGGTCAATCAGACAGAAACCTAATAGAGAATTAAGAGAATTACTGGAGGTAATGAAACAAATGGACTTAACAGACATCTATAGAACACTCCACCCAAATAGGAAAGAATATACCTTCTTCTCTGCAGCTCATGGAACCTTCTCAAAAATTGACCATATACTCGGAAACAAAGGAAGCCTCCACAGATACAAAAGAATATCAGTGTCCACCTGTGTCTTATCAGATCACCACGGATTAAAGTTAGAAGGCAACAACAATGCTGCCCCCAGAAAGCCGACAAACTCATGGAAACTGAACAATCAACTACTGAACCACACCTGGGTGAAGGAAGAAATTAAGAAGGAAATTAAAGTCTTCCTTGAATTTAATGAAAATAAAGAGACAACATACTCAAACCTATGGGACACGATGAAAGCAGTGCTAAGAGGAAAGTTCATAGCACTAAGTGCCCACTTAAAGAAAACGGAGAAAGCATACATTGGGGACTTAACAGCACACCTGAAAGCTTTAGAAAAAAAAGAAGCAGATGTGCCCAGAAGGAGTAGAAGACTGGAAATAATCAAACTGAGGGCAGAAATCAACAAAATAGAAACACAGAAAACAGTCCAAAGAATCAATGAAACAAAAAGTTGGTTCTTGGAGAAAATCAACAAGATAGACAAACCCCTATCCAAACTAATTAAACAACAGAGGGAGAACACGCAAATAAATAAGATCAGAAATGAAAAGGGGGACATAACCACAGACACAGAGGAAATTCAGAGAATCATTAGATCTTACTACAGGAGCCTGTATGCCACAAAACTGGAAAATACAAAAGAAATGGACATCTTTTTAGATAAGTACCATATACCAAAGCTAAACCAAGACCAGGTGAAAGATCTAAATAGACCTGTTAGTCGCGAAGAACTTGAAGCAGTTATCAAAAATCTGCCCTCTAAAAAAAGCCCAGGACCAGATGGTTTCAATGCAGAATTCTACCAGAACTTCCAAGAAGAGCTAATACCTATTCTCCTTAATGTATTTCACAGTATAGAAACAGAAAAGTCATTGCCAAATTCCTTTTATGAAGCTACAGTTACCCTGATACCAAAACCACACAAAGACCCAACCAAGAAAGAGAACTACAGGCCTATCTCACTCATGAATATCGACGCAAAAATTCTTAATAAAATACTGGCAAACCGAATTCAAGAACACATTAGAAAAATTATCCATTATGATCAAGTAGGCTTCATCCCAGAGATGCAGGGCTGGTTCAACATACGCAAATCTATCAATGTAATCCACCATATAAATAAAATGAAAGAAAAAAACCATATGATCATTTCATTAGATGCTGAAAAAGCATTCGACAAAATCCAACACCCCTTTATGATAAAGGTATTGGAGAGACTAGGGATACAAGGGTCATACCTAAATATAATAAAAGCTATTTACAGCAAACCGACAGCTAACATTAAATTAAACGGAGAAAAACTCAAAGCCATCCCACTAAAATCAGGAACAAGACAAGGATGTCCACTCTCTCCATACCTCTTCAATATAGTGCTTGAAGTTCTAGCAATAGCAATAAGACAACATAAGGGGATCAAAGGGATTCGTATTGGAAAGGAAGAAGTTAAGCTTTCGTTATTTGCAGATGATATGATAGTATACATAAGCGACCCCAAAAACTCTACCAAAGAACTCCTACAGCTGATAAACACCTTCAGTAATGTGGCAGGATACAAGATCAACTCGAAAAAATCAGTTGCCTTCCTATACAGTAAGGATAAGGAAACAGAGAGGGAAATCAGAGAAGCATCACCTTTCATGATAGCCACAAAGAGCATAAAATATCTTGGGGTAACCCTGACCAAGGAAGTGAAAGATCTATATGACAAGAACTTTAAGACTTTGAAGAACGAAATAGAAGAAGACACCAGAAAATGGAAGGATCTCCCTTGCTCTTGGATTGGGAGGATCAACATAGTAAAAATGGCAATTCTTCCAAAAGCAATATATAGATTCAATGCAATCCCCATCAAAATCCCATCAAAATTCTTCACAGATCTGGAGAAGACAATAATCAACTTTATATGGAAAAATAAAAAACCCAGGATAGCCAAAACAATCTTATACAATAAAGGAACGTCTGGAGGCATTACCATCCCTGACTTCAAACTCTATTACAGAGCTACAGTATTAAAAACAGCTTGGTATTGGCATAAAAACAGAGAAGTCGACCAATGGAACCGTATAGAAGACCCTGACTTTAATCCACAAACCTATGAGCACCTGATTTTCGATAAAGGAGCTAAAACTATACAATGGAAAAAAGAGAGCATCTTCAACAAATTGTGCTGGCAAAACTGGATTTCAATCTGTACAAAAATGAAAATAGATCCATGTCTGTCACCATGCACAAAACTCAAGTCCAAGTGGATTAAAGACCTCAATATCAGTCTGAACACACTGAACCTGATAGGAGAGAAAGTGGGAACTACACTACAACAAGTGGGCACAGGAGACCGCTTCCTACGTATAACATCAGCAGCACAGACAGTAAGGGCCTCATTGAATAAATGGGACCTCATGAGACTGAGAAGCTTCTGTAAAGCAAAGGACACTGTCGCTAAGACAGAAAGGCAACCCACTGACTGGGAGAAGATCTTCACCAACCCCGCAACTGACAAAGGTCTGATCTCCAAAATATATAAAGAACTTAAGAAACTAGACTGTAAAAGGCTAATCAACCCAATTATAAAATGGGGCACTGAGCTGAACAGAGATCTCTCAACAGAAGAAGTTCAAATGGCCAAAAGACACCTAAGGTCATGCTCAACTTCCTTAGCGATCAGGGAAATGCAAATCAAGACAACTTTAAGATACCATCTTACACCTGTCAGAATGGCTAAAATCAAAAACACCAATGATAGCCTATGCTGGAGAGGTTGTGGAGAAAGGGGTACACTTATCCATTGCTGGTGGGAATGCAAACTTGTACAACCACTCTGGAAAGCAGTGTGGCGGTTTCTCAGAAAATTTGGGATCAACCTACCCATGGACCCAGCAATACCACTCTTGGGAATATACCCAAGAGAGGCCTTATCATGCAACAAAAATATATGCTCTACTATGTTCATAGCAGCATTGTTTGTAATAGCCAGAACCTGGAAACAACCTAGATGCCCCTCAATTGAAGAATGGATGAAGAAAGTATGGAATATATACATATTAGAGTACTACTCAGCAGTAAAAAACAAGGACTTCTTGAAGTTTGCAGGCAAATGGATGGAAATAGAAAACACTATCCTGAGTGAGGTAAGCCAGACTCAAAAAGAGGAACATGGGATGTACTCACTCATATTTGGTTTCTAGCCATAAATAAAGGACATTGAGCCTATAATTCGGGTTCTTAGAGAAGCTAAATAAGAAGAAGAACCCAAAGAAAAACATATAGGCATCCTCCTGAATATTAACCTGCATCAGGCGATGAAAGGAGACAGAGACAGAGACCCGCATTGGAGCACCAGACTGAAATCTCAAGGTCCAAATCAGGAGCAGAAGGAGAGAGAGCATGAGCAAGGAACTCAGGACCGTGAGGGGTGCACCCACACACTGAGACAATGGGGATGTTCTATCGGGAACTCACCAAGGCCAGCTGGCCTGGTTCTGAAAAAGCCTGGGTTAAAACGGGTCTCGCTGAACATAGCAGATAAGGAGGACTACTGAGACCTCAAGAACAATGGCAATGGGTTTTTGATCCTACTGCACGTATTGGCTTTGTGGGAGCCTAGGCAGTTTGGATGCTCGCCTTACTAGACCTGGATGGAGGGGGTGGTTCTTGGACTTCCCACAGAGCAGAGAACCCTGATTGCTCTTTGGGCTGACGAGGGAGGGGGACTTGATTGGGGGAGGAGGAGGGAAAGGGGAGGCGGCGGTGGGGAAGAGACAGAAATCTTTAATAAATAAATAAAAAAAGAAAAGAAAACATGAAAAAGAAAAGGGTTTGGCAATGAATTCCAATCTACATGGTCAAGACCTCAGCAAGGAGTCCAGGACTCCACCTTCCCAGCATCCACAGGGAGAGCAGCCTGAGCAGGACTACAGGAGGACCTGAGCAGAAAGAGGCCAGAGGAGCTGGCACCAGCCTGGTGGCTGCTGGCTGAGGGCAGAGAAGCAACAGCAGGCTTCGTGGGCAAGGGAAGGAACAGGAGCAAGTTGCCTAAGGTCCATTCCGGTGAGTACGGAGAGCAGAATAGACATGGATGTGGGCAAGAACCTAACAGCCACGGCATTTCTCCTACGCAGCCAGAGGCCTCACAGCCTGCGAGAGACAAACACACCATGCAGACAGAGCTTATGTGAGGAGTTTGTTGAGATAAAGGGAGTGTGGGGGTAGGGGACAGAGATCTGCTTGCCTCTTCAGAAGAAGAGCAGGAGGAAAGCTGGCATGGGTGGAGCTTGTCTCTTAAAGGGACCTTTTGCACCTGTGTACAGACTATAAAGAGACCTAGCAGCTATAGGACCCTGGGATGGCCAGAGTATTGCCTGAGTGCATCCTGCCAGGTGACAGGGGTCAGCGTAATTCCTGAATCCAAACATCACAGCCCTACTGTTCCTCGTGACGCCACTTTATATGACATGTGTCAGCCTCTCTGCAACCCATGACCTCCAGCAGACTTCCCACGCTCCTATTCGGCCTGTCTAGGCAAGCAGACACAGGTCCAATCATAGCTCCCCAGTCCATGCCTTTGAGGACCCCATGTCCTGGGCCCCACAGCCATTCAGGCACCAAGCTCACTATCCCCATCCTGCAAACTCTCCTCTGGCCACCTCTCCTTGACTGTCCCAGAACCAGCTATATGCTCCTGCTATAAAGCCCTACTGACCTGGAGGACCTGGAGCTTCCTTGGGTAAGGGCAGATAACTTGCTCTGTAGACAATGGGTCAACTCTAGCAGTTTTCCCAGTACTCAAAGACAAAACCCCTTATCTCTATTTTTAGTCTGCAGACTCCCTGAGAGCCATCTGCCACCCTCAGGCCCCTGTGAAGAGAGCCTTAGCAAACAGGCATGGAAACATGCAAGCACTGTGAGTGATAAGAAGAGGCCACTGAAACACTCCAGTGTACGAAGAGGGCCCCAGTGAGCCACAGCACTCAGGGCCCTATGCTTAGAAACCAGCAGAGTTATGAGAACATAACTCCAGGCACCTTGGTTGCTCCCAGATCCTACTGTGAATCATGCAGGAACCACCCAGGACTGAGCAGAGAGACAGAAACAAACACCCTCAAGGAGCAACCACCTAAGAGACTGGAAACCAGGCCCAGTCTCAGGATGAGAGCCTATTGAGGAAGAAGGCAGCCAGGGGTGCCTGGGGCAGAGCCAGAGGCACTTGAACATCACAGTTCTCTAATGACAGAACTTTATCAACTGTTTCCAGGTGCCAGGAATGTCTGAAATCAGGCCCTGAAGATCAGGCAGCAATCCAGTGACTCAGGGATCCCTCTAGTCACCCAAAGGGAGCCATGCCTACAGCTGGGACTTGCCCAGTGGCATCCCAAGATTCCCAGATTCAGACTCTACCAATCTAGCACTCTGTACAAATTCTTATGACAGGAAAGAAGTGGCACACACTGAAGCTGCTGAATGAGGCTCCCTCTGCTGGGTGTGCCTGCAGCAGAATCCAAGACACAGACTCTCTCCAGCAAGCCCAGCACTGGGCAGATTCCCAAAACAAACATGGAGAGCAGAGGAAGATGGAAACAGGATGTATGTATGCATCCTGGAGAGGAGCGGGGGCAGGGAGGATAGTGCTGCGACAGAAAAACCTGGGGACTGGAGGTGGCCACCCCGCTATTCAGCACCCTCCTTCCAAGACAAGACCCGTGTGCACATGCAAGCCCTTAACACAAAGCGGGGTACGCAGGGCCCACACACTCACCTGCGGTTTTGTTGCACTCAAAGTTGATGACGCTCATTCGCTGGAAGCCAGAGCTGCACTCATCACCTCCAGAATAGATCAAGGTGAGGTCTCCATCTGAGTACCTAGATTGTCGTGAACACAGTGCTTTACAGAACCAAGGAATTCGAGGTTTCAAAAACTGCTTTGTTAAGCCTTTTGCACACCACCCACAAATCCCTCCTGACATAAAACAGCAGTCTCTCCAGCCAGCTGGGCAAGCGTCCTGCGGAAATGAGTTCCGAATGTTCAGGCTGTCAGCCTCTTGCTGTAGAGTACTAAGGGACCACAGAGAGGGAGGCCACTTTGCTGGCAGCAGCAGACTGCTCTTGCTGTCACTCTGGGACTTTACTCAACATGAATAATGCCCACAAACCAAACAGCCCCACTAGCAACTTCCAAAGGTACCACCTCTACCAGATCTGGTGTAAGACTCAATTCAAAAACTGCCTCTTGCCGGGCGATGGTGGCGCACGCCTTTAATCCCAGCACTCGGGAGGCAGAGGCAGGCGGATCTCTGTGAGTTCGAGACCAGCCTGGTCTACAGAGCTAGTGCCAGCACAGGCTCCAAAGCCACAGAGAAACCCTGTCTCGAAGAAAGAAAAAAAAAAAAAAAAAAAACTGCCTCTTCTTACTGCTTTCGGGAAGCCAAATGCCAAGTTAAAGTCCTAAGAATTATGTCAAGTGAGGTTTTTAGCTATTTAAAACTAGTATATAATGCTAATGGTATTTCAAGTCCTCAAATTGCCAGAGGAAATTAAAAAGGAAAAAAAAAGACTTATCAAAAACATAAATTTCAAAAACAATAGCCATATAAAGTGTTAACTACCTAAATTCCCTCCGATGCGTTTACAAAGCAATAGTTCTAACAGATGTGCTCTTATCAGAGTCAGGAAGCTGCCCAACTGCGCAGGGACAAATGGCAACTTGCCCAAGTAGCACAGGAAAGCATGTTAGGCTCTGACTTTCTTGTGCTGGGGGTAAAGGGAAGAGGAAGAGGGGGCTAGAGTCATGGCCTACAAGGACATACAATGCACTTGACAATCACCCACCGGAGGGTCTGGTTCTGGTGTCTTCCTGCTATTTTGACTTGGGTTAAATCCGCCTTCTTCTCTTGACAAACAGCAGCCTCTTTGTTATTACAGGTTCGGCCCTTTGTCCCACAGACATTTATATAAAATGTATACTCTCTTCCATCAGAAACATAGGAGGGCCCTAGAGGAAGGACCAACAAGAAGAGAGTGTTTGCTGGCACCTGTCAGAAAGCATGGTATTTCTTCTAAGCACACCTAAGCCCATCTCTCCCTCTTCCAGCCAGGTTCCTCCAGTGAAGCACAGGACAGAACAGAGGATCCCACACATACCGTCATGCTGGGCCAAGGGACTGAGGTCAATGGTGATGTCATGCTGCTCACTGCTTAGGGAGCACGTTTCACTCTCCAAGTAATCTCTGTGGCAGGCATATTCGGTGATCCACTCAACCTCATAGCGACAGTTGGACTTGGCCGTGAGTTTGGGAATGGTGCCCTATAGGGAGCAATCAGAGAGTCTTACATGCAATGCATTTACACACCTCCCATGTTCTGGGAAAGCCCAAACACAGGCTGCTAGAACTTTCTGTTTTTCTGTTCCTTGTCCCTGGCACATTCTGGTTGTCTAATTCTATTACTCTTACCAAAACTCAGGTGTGTGTGTGCAGGTGCACTCAACTGTGTGTGCACTGGGAGGCCACAGGTCAACTTCAGATGTCTTCATGTGCCACTTCCCACCCTGTGTTTTCTGGCGGTTTTGCAGGAATACCAGATGAGCCCGGAGAGTGCGGCTCTGCTGGACTGGCTGGTCAATGAGACCCAGGGACCTGCCTGTCTCCTAACACACCCAGCACTGAGGTCAAAGAAACGGGTATTTGGGGTTCAAACTAAGATCGTCATGCACAGAAAGCCCTCTGCTCTCTGGGCCACCTCAGCATAATCTACAACTTGTTTTTAACCTTTTCTCTCCATTTGACCTGTCACTGTGAGTGACACCCAAGCCATAGTTAGCAAGTCCACTCTGAACCTCATCACTGAGGAATCGGTGCACCCTGGTAAGCATTATGGGTGGCTCCACACCCTGGAGCTGAGGGAACACTGCCATGCAAGAGCACCACCATCCGCTGCCCTCAAACTTCTCAGAGCCAGTTTGCACACCTGTTGTGCCAGCCCTTGAAAGGCTAAAGCAGGAGCACTGTAGGTTTAAGATCCGCCTGAACTGACCTACAAAGCAAGACCTCTCAAAAGAACAAATATGGGTTGGAAAACAGCTCAGTCAGTAAAGTGTTTGCTGTCCAAGCATGAAGACCCACGTCGAATGCCCAGACCCACGTAACAAGCCATGCACAACAGCACACACTCTGTAATCACAAGGCTGGGGAGGAAGCAGCCCTGAGCTCAGTGGTTGGCTAACCTGGGCCAATCTGGCAAGTCTCAGGTCCCAGTGAAATGCTTTCTCAAAATAATAGGGTAGACAGCTCCTACGTAACAACACCCAGGGTCCTCTAGCCACCACACACAACTGTGCACATCACATGCACACACACACACACACACACACACACACCTCTCAAGGTGTAATGTACACCTAAATAAAAAGTTCTTCTAGGGCAGGTGGGATGGCTCAGCAAGTCCCTGCTGCTAAGCTTGGCAGCTGACCTGAGTGCCATCTCTAGGACACACATGGTGGAAGAGAACCAAGCATATAACCCTTACACATGCATGTGCAATTACACAAATGTAATTTTAAAAATTCTTTTAAGAAGCTGCTCTGGATGAAGCTAGGTTTCCCCAGCTGGAGCAAATGTGCTCTGCCATCTTGTGCTTTGAGCTTTGATGGGAACCACGGAGGATGCTAGCAGGTTCCCAGCTCATGAGTCACACCTCCTTGTTACCCTCGGAGGAACTGGTCGTGGCACCAGAAGAACGATGCTGCTCTGGGCACCTTAACCCCTCAGAGCTTTCTGCACACCTGCTGGAGGCCAGTCCCAGTGCACACGTGGTTCACAAGCTGCAGCACTGCAGCCACAAGCCTCTGCTTGACTAAAACTTGGTGCTTCTTCCCAGCATTAGGCTCCGTACAACCTGCCAAGGGGCTGCAGAGCTGAGTGCTCAGAGTCAGCACCAGAGACCTACACACTACGCAGCTCCGTTCATATGAACTATCCAAAAAGAGCAAATCCGCAGCCACAAAGCAGACTCGCGTGGTGTGCACGCTGTGAAGAGGAAGGGAAAATAAGTGAGTACTAACTTGCAAAAGCACCCTGGAGCGTGGGGCGGGGTCTAGATTAGACTGTGGGAAAGGATACACAAAGCAAAAATGCTAGGACCGTCGAATTGTATAACAAAACAGGTGAATTTTACAGTCCATAAATTCAGTGAACTTTTAAAAAGAACATAACAAGGCGAATATTGATTAGATACCAGCTGCCAAAGCACTCAACAAGCCAACAAAATGCATAAGCAAACTTCTCAAGGACAACACAGAACACATTCTGTCCAAGGAACAGCTTGAAGAAGAAACAAACAGCACCAAGAAAAGCCTTGGATCTCGAGTGTGAAGGAGGCACGAAGACTTCTGGTAGTCCGTCATTCTGGGGAAAGCCAATTCTCTCCATACACAGAACAGATAAAATGGGAGTCCATCAGCACTGCTGCCTAGAGCATCCACCAGGATTGAGATTCTATGTCTACAGACACACTGCACATGACTTCCTCTCCATACACTCAGAACACCAAGAAGGCATCCGCTAAGCTGATAGCAGTAAGAAACTAGATAGAGTGCTTGATGGCAAGCTGAACCTCGACTGGTTTGTATCCCTCCGACCCCCACACATGGACCAGACAGGCAGTGACTGACCTAAAATCAAAGCAAGCTCCATATTTGTTCAGCAATAGAATTCACTCTTCTTATTTCTACTACAAAAGGGAAGAAAAAACTCAAAGGGAAGCCCTTCCTTTTCTCACTCAAGTGGCAGGCCAATGTGGACAGGCACCTGTGGAGACGACTCGAAGGACTCACGACATTGAAGTCAAAATAAAGATAAAATGGAGGCCCTCCTGCTCCCTGTCCTGAAATCAGGATGTGCTGACAGCAACACACTGGGATCAGGTGACCCCTATCAATCAGGAGCAGAGGCCAAAAGGTCTGCAAAGACAAGAAATCCTCAGGAGGGTCATACAAACCCAGGCTCCAAGAGGCTCGGCAGACGCTGGTCACCTCCAATGGACCTCAGCACACAAGAGCCATGCACACACTCTAGCAACAATACACCCTTCAGGTGGCCACAGCTCACCGGATCACCTGCCGACAGCCGGCTCTGTAGGCAGTGAACGTCCCACACCACGCAGACCTGACTAACCACACCTGTGGCTGCGCCTGTGCCTCTGACGCCTTCAAGGAACACCTGTAGTGGAGCTAGCAGCCACTCACCGTCCTTCCCACCAGTGGGTGTGGACGTGGGGGTCTGCTGGGCACTGGACCTTCAGACTGGTAACCTCCTTGGTGCCACCACCTCTACCAACTGTCCACAAGTGAACTCTGCCTCTAGATATCGGTGTCATCATGTAGAGAGAAACTGTTAGGTTGTTAGGTTTATTTCATGGGAACTGTTTCCCTCTTTTATTATGTATGAACAACAAACTATGCATTCAAAAAAGATACCTGACCACCTGCCTCTCTCCAAGATTTAAAAGCAGCTCTGCAGTAAAAATAGCTGCTGGCATGTCCAAGGCCCTGGTTTTCAACCCCAGCAACCAAGAAGTAAATAAATAAAATGAAAATTAAACGTAGCCAAGAGACAGAGTAATAAATCTGTCTAGGACTGTGAGTGAGAGAGATGGCAGGCAGGAGACAAAACGGGGGGTTGGGGGGGGACAAAAGTGACTTCCTCCCTACAAGAATCCCAGGCTTCAGGGGTGGGGAGGTAACTCAGTATGTAAAGTTACTGCCATGTAATTTTGATCTCCAGAACCTACTTTTTAAAAAGCCAGACACTGTGGTGCACACCTGTAATCCCAGCACCAGGGAGGTGCAGACAGGTAGATCCCTGAGGCTTGCTGACCAGATCAGCAAGCATAACCTGCCTGGTTGTGGGAACCTGAGAAATGACATGCTAGGTTGTTCTCTGGCCTCCAGATTTATCTACACCACACACAAACTAAACTCATACACAGAAACACCCACTAAAAGAAGAAAAGAAGTCTCAGGATTCAGATTAGTTGGAGCTTTTCAACTATTGCTAAACACACACACACATGCACATTTACCCACAAACTACTCACCTCGTCCAGGTGACAACAAACACTACTCACGCCTTCCCAGCTGGTGTGATCAGAGAAGGGCGTGAGGGATGCACACTTGCACCCCAGCACTTGGGAAGCTGAGGAGCCCCAAGAAGACCCTACCTCTAAACTAGCACACACAGACGAGCAAACTGGGCACCCCAGGGAGCCCGCGCTCGTAGAAGCAGTCTCCCCACTGAAAGTCCCAGATCCCTTTAGTCCACCACCCTTGCATGTCTCAAACACAGACACACGATCATTTGGGCCAGTCTCCCTGAGGATCACATCTTTAAAGTTACTTAGAGACAAGTCACTCACTCACCTCTCTTCGCTCAGATGGGCACACAAATGTTATCGTCACTGCAGGGCTGTGACCATTACAGAAGTCTGGCTTTTCACCCTCTTCCTTCACATAAGTCAGAACAAGCCTGCAGAAGCCACGTGGAGAAACTCTATTACAGAAGGGCAGATCACATTCAAACAGAGGCACTGCCCTGGGCAGTCAGCACATTTGAGGAGTGGACTAGCAGAGGGAAATAATAAACACTGTCATATTTCCATTTTAAAAAGCATCAAAGTGTAAGCTTCAGAGATCTCCCTGTTGAAAGTCAGACCAACATGACAATCAGTGAGCACATACAAATCCTGAGGGAAGTTTCTCCATAAAGAACACTTCTGTGAAAACCTAAGAAAACAGATCAACATAGCTGGGGAGGCCTAACAATTTTCTGCACAAGGTCACATGATCTTCCCCTGACATCCAACTGCAAACCAAAGTGCTGTATATCAACCTGTCAGTCTGTGGCTGGTCAAGATGGCAGGCACAGCAGTCACAGGCTAGGGCTGCTACACCCAAAGCCCAACCAAAGTCCCCGCTCCTGCCTCAGCTGTGGGACATGCCCTTATCTCCCATGCACCATCGCACAGTGCTGGCAATAGACAAGTCACGCTCTGCATGGTACCCTCCATTCCCTGAGCCCTCCGTCAGTCACCAACCTGCCGCTCTGAACCATCCCTCCCAACTCCAAATGCTGCAGCCCTAACAACATGCTTATCAGTTGACTACCAGACCCCGGGGACGTTAAAGAGGCAAACAAACAGGACCCTCATGCAACAGTTCTGTTGTTGAGAGGATTATGAGGCCACGGAAAACTCCCAGCCTTTTCTAGTTCAAGCCCTGCTGTATGCTGAGGGCCACCAGCAAACTGCCTCACGTACTTCTCCAAAAGAAAGGTTAAGGCTAACGCGACAAGTGATACAAAATGAAAAACATGAGCAGGGTCAAGGACCCCAAGCTACTTTGAAGCCGGGAGGTGGTGGCGCACGCCTTTAATCCGAGCACTCAGAGGGCAGAGGCAGGAGGATCTCTGTGAGTTAGAGGACAGCCTGGTTTACAAGAGCTAGTTCCAGCACAGGCTCCAAAGCTACAGAGAAACCCAGTCTCAAGAAATCAAAAATTAAAAAGAAAAAAAAAAGCCTGTGTCACTGTACCCAGCTCATAAACCAAGTTACTGTGAGCTGCACAGCAAGACTGTCTCACAAAGCCAAATAAATGTTACCTAATAAAATACGCGAGCAACATGTAAACCAGCTTGAGACAGGCCAGCGAGCCTGCTGGAAATGGGATGTGCCTCCCTGGCTCCTAGAAGTCCAGTTCGTTCTTGTTCTCCTCTTTTGCCAGTATTAACTGTACAGACCAATGGGTCTCACAATGGCATCTCCACACGGGTCACGCCAGCACCCCAATACCAAGCTCCCACTCCCTTCTCTTCTCCATCAGTCCTCCTAGAGGGCAGACTCTCTTGCTGAGGACCTAAAGTAAGCCACCCAGGTGGCTATAGACTGACCTGTCCTTGCTCACCAGCTTCAGTCCCTCCTTCGGCCGGCCAACATCAAACGCCTGGTCTCCCTTCAGCAGACAGGCGGCAGTGCCAGCAGGACAGGCTCTCAGCTGTGAGCTTGGATCCCGAAGGGAGTCTGCAAAACAGCACAGATGACTTAAGGCAGAGCAAGTGACAAAAGCAGAGTTCATGTGAATCCTTACGTCCAGATCTCGAAACAAACAAACAGGATTCAAGGTGTGCACCACCACCAGCACTCAGGAGGCAGAGGCAGGTGGATCTCTTGAGTTTGAGGCCAGACTGGTCTACAGAGAGCTAGTTCCAGTACAGGCTCCAAAGTCACAGAGAAACCCTGTCTCAAAAACAAAAAAAAAGAACAAGAAATTTCAATGTTTTCCAGATCGAAACATCACAGTGTTGCAGAAGTTTAGGATCAAACTTAAAGTTATTGTAACCTCACATGAAAAGCCTGACGTCACCACTGGTCACTAGCAGTCCTGGGTAGGGTCTAAAGATTATTTTAAACAGCTAATCAGAATACACAGGTAAGATGAATGTGCTTGTATTCAATATAAAGAACTGACATCAGGCACATACCTACCTCCCACTGTCATGTAGTACTAAACTGGTATTTTTTCCCCAAAATTTTTCTAAGACCAACATCTCAGATATATTAAGAAAGAAACATAAGGAAAACAGAAAACTATGCCTCCTATTTCTTTCCTTTCTAAATGTTCTTACTTGTCAGTACAATTTCTTTACGGCCCAATTGCAGTTAGCACAGCAGAAAGAGCAGTCCTGGTCCACAGGGCTCCCAGTGCTCAGCCCATGAGGAAAGCACAAGAACTGGGGAGCATAGCAAGTAATAAATAACTACGCAGTAAAACTAGACAGCCCTTTTGAGATAAAGGCCTTCATTTACAGCCTCTGGTTATCAGGAAAAGATATGCTGGCCTCTCACAGTTCTCCAAAGAAAACCAGAGTCATTCCTACCCCAGCACACATGACAGCCACACTCTCAAAGCCTTCTCATCCCTCAGTCCCTTTGACTCAGCCTCCAACCCAAAGCCTCGGGGCTTGGGTAAACACAGCAAACTGAAACAAACGTCACCATGGAGCCCCAAATCCCAAAGTATCTGACAGAGAAAACCTTCAGCAGAAGCAATAGCTTGAGCAGAATTTGCAGGGTTGGAGGAGGGAAGGATCAGATTTGCTGAGGGAGAGAACACAGCTCTCCAGAGAGAACTAACGGGCAAGTGACGACCACTTCCCACCCTGCTCCTGTAAAAGACTTACCTATGTCTCGACACACGTTGATGAACAGAGATGTGTCAGGATCAGAATCGTCTACCAGGTAGCCACCACTCAACTTGATCAGTGGGTTTAAATCATGCTTCTTTAACTTCTCATCAAATGCATAGCATGGCACCTAGGGAAGCAGAGGAGAGTGAGCCAGCCTTCCTTTACCCCACAGCTTGGGGCCAGCAGATCACAAACTTGGGATGGACACCACACAACCGTGATTTCTATCCCTTAGGTGCAAAACAAACATGGTTATGTCAGGTGTGGTGGCGCGCCCCTTTAATCCAGCACTCAGGAGGCAGAGGCAGGAAGAACTCTGTGAGTTCGAGGCAAACCTGGCCTACATAGCAAGTTCCCAGGCCAGCCAGGACTACATAGTTAAGACCTTGTCTCAAAAAAACAGTTCAGTCTTCTAGAGCATCTCTAAGGCCTTTGCCCCTTCTTAAGGCTGCACATCCCTAACCACCTCCTCTCACCTCCCATCACCATGGTTCACCAGGCCTGGACCACGTCCTGCAGTATGCAACAAGATCCGCCTCCTTACCAGTGTCTTTCCTTACAGCTATCTTCTCTTCTCTGCACTTTAAGAGAAAAGTCCCTGAACCGCCCTGTCCTTTGTCTCTTCTTTCTAGCACTATTATATCTGGAGCCTGCCCCTCATCCCACCAGAGCCACACCTGCCAGGTGAGTTTGCCTGTTGCCAGATCTGAAGCTCATTTCTTAGGCCTGTGATAGAGAATGACCACAGCCTGAGGCCCTTCACTCCCCTTTCCCTTAGATTCCTGTCCAGAGGAAACTATTTCCTGATGCCCTGGCTGCATCCTCACCATCTTCTGATTCTAAATCCATAGGTGGTTTGAGTAGGGAGGCTGAGTGGGTAAAGTTGCTTAGCACACACACACACCTGGCTGGAGACTATATTTAATTCCCAGAAGCCACCGAAAGGTGAAAGGTGAGAACCAGCTCCACAAAGTGTCCTCTCAGATCTCCGCAAGTGCAACCCACACATACCATGCACATGCAATAGGCAACATTTAAAACAATCACAAACACAGAGGTGCTCCTAAATAGGCACCTGGCCCCTCTCCCCTGTGCCGGCTCAACCTTGCTCCATGTGAATGGCTCAGACACCTGTCAGATGATCCAGATCTGAAGCATCTGCTGCTCTCACCGCCACCACCTGGCACAGAAACCACTTCAAAATATTCACGTGAGCATACGGTTTTCCAACAGCATGCAGTCCTCCACCTCAGACAATTGGGGGTGGGGGACCAGCAAGTAGCCTGGGGTCAAAACCATGGCATCTGGATGCGGCCAAGTTCCTGCACATCCCATATCCAAGTACTAGCTAGTTACGTCAGTTGATTCTCCGAGTCAGCCCCTGATGTCTTCACTTCCTGTCACCTCCACCATGACCACCTTTGTCCAAACTACCAGAATCCAACAGTCTCTAACAGGTTCCCCAATTGCAGCTTTGATCCCCTACACACACCCCTAGCCCATGACTTCACAACATGACCAATCTTTCAAAAACCAGAACACCTCTCCCTGCTCAAAAAGGTTCCTACTACTCAAGGAGCAACAGCCAAATTCCACAAGACTCCCAGCCTCCTCCACACAGCCAAACAGCTGCTACTGTAGGCAAGCCATTTGACGGGGGACTTCAGCCAATCACCTTCCATTTAAGGTGTGTCCCCCCTGGAGCTACAGAAAACAGATAAAATACCCAGGTGAGCTTGTTTCTTCCTCTTTGGTTCCCAGCGCTCCTGGTGTTGGGGGGGGGGGGGGATCTTTGGTTGTGTAAGTTTTCCCTTTTTCCTCAATTACTAAAAACTAAATCTTTTGCCAGGCGGTGGTGGCGCACGCCTTTAATCCCAGCACTCTGGCGGCAGAGGCAGGTGGATCTCTGTGAGTTCGAGACCAGCCTGGTCTACAGAGCTAGTTCCAGGACAGGCTCCAAAGCCACAGAGAAACCCTGTGTCAAAAAAAAAAAAAAAAAAAAAAAACTAAATCTTTTGTAATGAGCTGGTCTGGTTATTTATCAATTGACCAGGCCCCTTCATTAGCCATACCAATTAAATGTTTTCCTTAGAGCTGCAGTGATCATGGTGTGTCTTCACAGCCATAGAAACCCTATGATGGGCGGCTTGAAGTATCCTTACTCCACTCTCATTCATGACCGTTCTCTCATCTCTGTGAACTAATGGGCATTTTATAATAAAAATATCAAGGGGTCCACTACTGTCAGCAAAATCCTGTGCTTTGGAGTTTTGACTCTTTCATAAACAAAAACATGCACATTCAAAGATGAACCCAGGAGTGAAAAGGCCCTGGCCAGCAAGGGAAAAGTAGCTACTTATAAGATTTTATTTGAAATTGCATGAAAAGAATGTATCCCATAATACTCTTTCCTCCCCAAGCTGCTATTAGCCATGGTGCTTATCACAGCAGTAGGAAGCACACTATCACACCGCCCAACCAACCAGTCTGAAAATCCACTCTCTACAGCCATTTCCAAGGACATTCTCTGTAACAAAACGCTCTAATGTTTTATCTCTTAGATGGCAGGTGAGGGTACAACAGTTAACTGAGTAACACCCAGCTCTCAAATGTCTCTTAGACATTATCGAACCTGCAGCAAGCTTCTGTCCACTGACCTTTTCCCTAGACTGGCCTTGTCAAAAAGCTAAGAGATCACATCAAACCCCACACTCCCCTACTTCACCTAGAAGAGTGGCCTACTAGCCGAAGATCCTTAAGCAATCTACCACACATGCCCTGCTTCTCAGACCAGGACTCTCTGACAATGGGGTGGGGTGGAGGAGCCTGTGACAGGAGGGAACTCCAGCTGAACACCACACTCCCCTAGAAAGACGGCAAGAAGGCTGACTAACTGGGCTGTGTCAAAAGCAACCAAGGTGCTGACGCCCCTGCACTCAAAAAGGCAGAGTAAGAAGCACTGCAAACGTGAAGACAGCATAGGCTATGGAATGAGGTCCAGATTGCTTCAAAGAGCCAGAAAGAACAGCGAACCTAAGTGTTTCAACCCCACAAATCAGTGTCCCCACACAAGCAAGAGACACACAGCATTTACTCAGAGTGCAACGCGCCATGGGCTGTGAGAACAGGAACAAGCAGCAGCCCTCTAGCTAGGCGAAGACTGGAAGAAGGCAGGAGTAAGGCTGGGGAAAGCCTGTCCCCAAAGGCCTTGGGGAAGGTCTGTCTGAGAGACTTAACCCTGAGCTACTGCCTCTGCTGCTGTTTGTCTATTCACTGTTCTAGCTTTAGCCAGGCTACCAGCGCCACCTCTGCAACGTCTCCCCAGGTACAAGGAGAGGGGATGCAGAGACACAGATCCTCCCAGAACCTACTGGGTAAGGCGCTGATTTAAAAGGCACCATCTGGGGCAGGCACCCTGGCTGAGGCTGGAGCTCTAACGGCCAGGCTCACATCTGCAGCCCCAGTGCCTCAGTAGCTTTCCTCCTCTTTGAGGCACTTCAGGAAGGGGGCTTATTTGGCTCTCAGTTCATCACGGCAGAGAACAGGAGTGTGTGGCACACTTAATTCACTGTCACATTTAATTCACAACAAGGAAGTAGGCACGTTGGTGCTCAGTTCAGTTCCTGCTTTCTGCTCACTCCAGGACCTGAGCCCCGAAAGGTCCCCACCCACAGCCAGGTCTGCTTTCTCACCTCAATGAAGTCAGTCTAGAAAGCCCCACACACCCAGAGGTTCATTTCCATGGCAACTCTAAATCTATCAAGCAGACAATCGGGCTTAACCACCGCAGGAGGGTAGAAGGGTTAAAGTTTCAGGTCGTCTGGGGCCAGCCTGCCTTACATGAGACTCTGGCAATAAAAACTGGCAGAAAAAGAATCATCCAAGTGAGATCTAGCATGGGTAGGGAGCCGGAGCAGAGGAAGATGAAGCAGTTAGATCCCTGAGGGCCCCAGAGGTGGGACCCTCAGGACAAAAACCTAAACCCAAGCCTGGCTGTGTGTGTCATGTACACTACCAGAAGCCAGACTGGAAGTAATTTTTAACAAATGAATCTCATAGCTTCTCTGTACAAACAGACCCTGACATCCACAAAAATAAAACCTAATATTTGAAACCTCCCACCATCCCCAGTAACAACCTTCTATGAAGTTTTTTTTTTTTTCCTTTTCTTGAAAAAAAGATTTTTCTTTCAGGAAACATTCTGATTATGGTTTCCCCTCTCCTAACTCCTCAAAACTCTTCCCCCTCCTCTCCCATCCAAATCCACACCCTTTCTGTCTCTCGGGGTCTCCAGAGTAGATTTCATAGCCAAATAGTCCCCGACCCCATTACCTCCTTATCAGCTTTAAATATGTCCTTCTTGCAGGCTGCAGTAGTCCTCCATTCAAAGTAATGCACGCAGTCTGTGGAAGTCACAAACTCAGGAGTTCCCTGTTTAAAAAAAAAGTTACCATACCACTTGATAGTGAAAGTTTGTCTTTCACCTCACAGGTAAACTAACGGTGTGACAAGGAGTCCTAATTGCTGTGTAACAAGGTTACCAAGAACTTCCCCAAATGGAAAGGCTGGGATAGGAGAGTCTCCAGCAGACACGCCAGCCGCTCCAATTCCACAAGCAAAGTAAACGCATGGGAAGCGAGCCTTCATCTTCCTCTTAAGAGCCCAATGTTCTCTGACCAAAAATCAGCAAAATCAAAGCCAGAAAGTATGACCTCATACATCCTGTGAGGAGGTCCCTAAAGAGCCCTGTAGACTCACCAGACCCCACCCCAGGCAGTCCCTTCTGGCAGCCAGGGATGACTCCAGATCAACAGACCCTCGGTAACTAACTTCTACCTCCCCAACCCATGTGCAAAGCCCCAGTTCATCTTCAAACCCTGCTTCCCATACAGTGAACACCAAACCCTTAGAGCAATCTGCAGACGTCAGCAGCTAGTTTACTCTACATCACCACCTCCACAGCTCATGCTGCCACCCAGAGACATTAAGATCTCAATGTGTACAATGAGCAGTTACGGGCTGGTTCAAAATTAACATTCATCCTAACTCAAGTTTCACCATGTTTAAGATTTGCCTACTTAGTGGTTCTGGATGGGGGGAGTGAATGTGGACCGAGTCTGGCTGTTAATTTTAGCCGTTTATCCCTCCTGGATCAGGACTTCTCTCACAAGAATGCCAGAAGGAAGACTACGCCTGACAAGGCGCTGGAGGCCACTCACCAGGGTCTTCCCACACAGAAACGTAATGCTGCTCTGCGTTCTGTGCTGGGAATCTGAAGGGTGGCAGTCCGTGGTGGTGTTGAATTCCAGGAGGGATCTGGATGAACTTCTCAAATGAGTATCGCCTATTCCAAGGGAATCAGGATGAAAATAGTGAACACACATACGACATATAGGGCCTTCTGCTCACAGAGAAGCTCTACACAAACCAGGAGCGTTAAACATGCTGGGTTGTCTTTTCAAATACAGCCCAGCTTCCAGCCCAGAAGGCTAGGTCCCTTTCCATCTGAGCTGCAAGATTTACAAAGAACAGCTATGGATCTCACTGTGCAGCTGCAGGGGGACAGTCACTCAGCACTCTGTTGCCCCAGAGGCAAGCTTTGGCCAAGCCCAGCTAGGCGTGGGGAGGATGGGGGGGGACAAGCTAAGTGCGGTGAAGCCAAGCCTGAGCCACACTCCACGTGAGGGGACTGCCCAGAGGCTAGCCGAGAGAAGGGACTCCATGAACCGAAACAACACCACAGGAACCCACAAACCCGCGCCGCTGGAATCCAAACCCGAAGCTAGGGGCGCCGCAGAAACAGGAATTTCGAAGCCCTGCCATGCCGCACTGCAGAAAGCGCGCGCGCAAGCGAGCAGAAAGCGCGGCAAGAACCGAGATCTTGAACTGAAGGCATGCCGCGGAAACACAAACTCGAACCTGCACCCGCACCCAACCCAAAGCTGTAAGAACTGGAAACCCAAAGCCAAAGCTGTGGGAACCCGAATCGCGCAAACACATGGCCAAAATAATCTTTTTAAAAATGTCTATTAAATCATTATTTATGTTGTTATTTATATTATAAGCATACAGTTGTGTACACCACTAGAGCCATGCATTATGCTTACATAATGTTATTTTACTTACCCACTGATCGAAAGGTTTTTGTCTTTAAGTCACACATACAAACAGCACTTGTCGGCCCACACTCTGGAAGATCCACATTTCCACAGACGTTTATCTTATAAACTGCGTTGTTTTTGGAATCAACAGCTTCCCAAGTGTAGCTAGAAAAGAAGATAGGCCATTTGTCACTGTCACTGACCTGACAATTAACTCCTCTCTGATTTGACATTCTAGCCATATTTGTTTCAACTACTGCAAACAAGAAGATACTTTCATTAGCCAAAAATACCAAGTCAAATGTGGCAAACTTGAAAAAGCCGGGCGGTGGTGGCACACGCCTTTAATCCCAGAATCCCAGCACTCGGGAGGCAGAGGCAGGCAGATCTCTGTGAGTTCGAGACCAGCCTGGTCTATAAGAGCTAGTTCCAGGACAGGCTCCAAAACCACAGAGAAACCCTGTCTCGAAAAACCAAAAAAAAAAAAAANNNAAAAAAAAAAAAAAAAAAAAAAAAAAAAAAAAAAAAAAAAAAAGAAGAAGAAGAAGAAGAAGAAGAAAGAAAAAAGAAAAGAAAAAGTGGCCAGGATAGAATCTACCAAGTGCCACCTTAAGCATTACAGCTCAGATGGAAAGGGATTCTAGCAGTCAGGAGCCAAGGAATACCACAGGTCACTGTAAGCTAGCAGCTTACAGCCCTGCTCCAGCAGGAGAAGGCTTCGCCAGCCAAGCTATTTCAGCCCTGCTCAGTCTCTGCTCCCCGTGAAAGAAGGTCTCATTCAATCCTCGGTCAAGAGATTTATTGGAAGGGAAGAACCCAGGAGAGCGGCTGCCTCTGTCAGGGTGGAAATGCTTACACAGGGCTCTTTAGATTTTCAGGGTGGAACTAGTCAGATTTCAGTCCCTCGAGCTCAGATTGGCTAGATCTCGTGCTCAGTGATTGGTCTGTTCTCTGCTTAGTTGGTCAAGGGCAGAATGGCTCTGGTTTCTGGGCCAAGGAGTCTTTCTTTCACTGGCCCTTTTTAGCCTTTTGGCTCTAATTTCAGGGCCAGGGCATATTTCTTTCACTGACTCTGAGTCTAGAGTCAAAGTGTGTTTCTTTAGCACTGGTTTCAGGGCCAGGGTGGGTTTCTTTGGCTGGCCCTTTTACCCCACACCACCTGGCTGGGAAAACCTGAGAATACTTAAATCCATCCTTACTCTAAGAACATCAACTCAGGTGAGCTACTACTTAAGTCACACTGTGTGAGGGGGGTCCAGCCCAGTCACCCCAGAGTGCTGAAGAACCAGAAGACTGCCGTATTTTATTCTGTGTTGAATATTTTATATGTATGGGTATTTTGCCAGCATGTACATCTGTGCATTACATATGTACAGTGCCCAAGGAGCCCAGAAGAGGGTGTCAGTTCCTCTGGAACTGTAGTTGCAGGCATTTGGGGGCTGCCAGGACTCTTAACTACTAGGCCATCTCTCCAGTCTTTCCAAGGGATTGTTTTTAACTTTCAAGCTTTTTCCTTGACGACCCTGTCCCCGTCTCCTGAGTGCTAAGGTCAGGGGCCAAACCTAGGCCCCCTAGCTGCATGTTAGACAGGGACTCCATCAATCGAGCTCCATTCCTCAAGTTTTTTATTCTGTTATTTTTTTAAAAACTAGCTATAATGTGTGAAGCTGGCCTGTTTCTGGAAGACTACAGTCTGGACCTCAACTGACTTGATAACTCTGCTCACCACAAGACAAGATCTTCTGCAGGCCAGTTCCCTACAGAGAACTCTGCAGAACCCTCTCTGACTACTTGCTACTGTCAACCTGAACACCTCATACAAAATCATTGGGTTTTTTTGGTTCTGCCAAGTAATTATCTACTCTCCCTCTACTCTTCCCTGGGAGAATGCTTGCCCATTTTATAAACTGGGGTCCATTTCCTCAGCAAGGGTAAAAAGAGAGTGGATAAGAAGTTTCTTGAGAATGTGCTTTAAAAAAACAAAACACACACATACTGAAGCATGATTAATAAAAACTCAGAGAGAGAAATTGGACCTGAAGGTCAGAAAAGCAAAACAGCCAGCCACTGGCGCTTATCTCTACCTCAGTCTGAAATGGCGATGCTGCCTCCAGGAATCTCAGAATGAGACTGAGACTGAGAGCTGTCTCCTGTTTTATAATCCTCTCTAGTTCTGGGATTAAAGGCATGTCACCACACAGTTTCTATGGCAACTAGTGTGGTGACTGGGATTAGCAGTGTGTGTTACCACTGCCTGGTCTGTAAAGCTGACCAGTGGAGCTGTTTTACTCCCTGATCTTCAGGCAAGCTTTATTTATTAAAATACAAATGAAATATCACTACAACATACACACACACAAAACAAAACAAAAACCCTGATTAACTTTGAACAGTTCTGATGAGAGGAGGAAGAAGGACTAAATCAGACTTATTGGGAAAGCCTACCCAGAGGTAGAGGTTCAGAAGTGAGACAGCTCCCACCCATTTCTAGTCATGTGACCCTGTGACTACGCAAACACCCACACAAGTTCCCAAAGCTACCAGGTACTGTCCGTAGCCTTCTCTGACTAGAATTTACTGCCCAAGCAGTACCACTAGCATCACGGACAAACAGCTCTCTTAACCTTGGGCCTGGACTCCAGGATCAGAGGCCCCTGCCCAAAAGAAGGGTGTGTGAGCATTTGGCAGGTGATGGAGTGTCCTGGGAATTTGTGGCCACTAAGCTACTACAAACCTGAAAAACTGGTTACTTAAGTGCCAGGCCTTTGGGGTGAAGTCAGGCTTTAAAGCAGCGACTACTCAACAGACTTAGTTACTTCCAGAGCCAGGAGGATCATGTATGAAAAAAATCACTCAAGCACTGTAGCTGGCCCAGAGAAAATCATCAATAAAACCTGTTTCTTCTTCCTTGGGCGGGGGGGGGGGGGGGGGGNGGGGGGGGGGGACATAGGCGCACGCTTAGTTTGTTTCATGGTGTGTGTGTATGGGGGTGGGGGTGGATTCCAAACTTGTAGGCATCCTTATACCCGTGTCCCCCTCTCCCCAGTGCTGGGATTACAGAGGCCCAGCCACAAGGTTTCCCAAGAGGTACAGAATGACCAAATTCCCAGGCCCCTGGGAGAAGGAAGGAAAATAAGTGAACAGTACACACAATATATATAAGCTCTGATGGAAACTGAGTCAGTGGGGGCAAGCAGTGGATCACTGAAGACTACGGCACAGCTGTGCCAGGCTGGGGAATTACTCTGAGCCCTGACAAGTAGCAGTGACTTCAGGTGTGAAGGGGGAAAAAGAAAGAGAGCAACTTGGTTAAAGCTGGAGGACTAAGAAGTCGGCAGCGGGTAGGGAGGCCACAGAGGCAGGGTCAGCCACGCCCGTCCTGCAGTGAGCAATCTTGATTCTACGTGAAGAAAGTGAAGGCCACAGCACACCTAAGCTTTCCTTAAAGCGGTCAGGTAGCAATTTGCAGGACACTAGCACACTTCATTGCTATGGGGAGTTTCAGAGAAATGCTAAGCTCTCATTTGCGAACTGTAATTCCAAGTTTTTCCAAGCTGGCAGGCAGGCAGGCAGGCAGTTCACTGAAAACCTTAGCCTGACATCAGTACAGCTTCTCATAGCCCAGTGACTGAAGTACCCACAGCGCCACAGAAGTCTGCAATGAGAACCAAACTTAAGGAAATGCAGACGGAGCGAAATGAACAGGGTTCAGTGAGGTGCGCAGAAGTCAGAGAGAAGGCTGCTTTCCGAAGACATGCACTTGGTATCTCACACAAATTTATCAAATGGAAGTGATGATATAAACAGGGTTTGAACACAGCTTCTTCGGAATTGATTTAGGGGCTCATGGGCAGCCCTCCCCGGCAGATGCCCTCAGCACCACGGAACTCAACCCCCAGCTCCCAGGGAGGTGTGCTAGTTCAGCTCTTAGTCACACCACCTAAGAGCAAAGACTCGGTCACAGTGTCTTTTAAACTGAAACCTAGCAATCTGCAGGCTGTTAGCACTGGAGATCTAATTCCAGCGAACACTACAGCTGCTTTAAAACAATCCAACATGACAGGCCTGGCACCTGTGCACTGTCACTCAGCGAAACACCACATCAGGAACTCCCAGGAGCCGAGTCAATCCTGCAGTGCGGTGAGAGCGAGCTGACCCGAGGGTGTGAACGGCTTGAAAGAAGTGCTGTGTTAATGAGGAGGGGCTGCACGTCTGAAGTCAAGGGCAAGGTGCTGTGATGGACACTGAGCAGCCAAGGAAGGAGGAGCAATAGTTTAAGGACAAACTGGCTACAGAGTGAAGCCTACCCTAGCCTGGACTAGCCGAGAACCCATTTCAGGCCAAGCATAGGGGTCTATGCCTTTAATCCCAGTGCTCAGGAGGCAGGTCTCTGTTGAGTTCGAAGCCAGCCTTGCCTACATTGAGAGTTCCAGGACAGCTAGGGCTGTACAGTGAGACCTTGCCCCAAGAAAGAAAAAGAAAGCAAAAACTAAACAGTAGAAGTTGTTACATTTAAAATCATGAAATAGATGACTGTAAATTTTCTGGCAGGTCAAAGGCCAAGCAGTCAAATGGCCCGGGCTGTAACCATCCTTAGAACGGAGTCTGTAAAAGCTGAAACCTCAGCATGGGGCTGGCCATGCAAGCACCTGAGAATGAGAGCCCCAAAGAGTGAAGTGAGCGGACAACAAACTGGCATTTTATCTTTTAGAAAAGAATTCTCTATTTGAAACAAATACAGACAGTCAAAACTAAAATTCCATCCCCTAGCAACAGAAAGGCGCCCAACGTCCACCCTTTACCAAGTTCATACAGTGAAGACTGGACAAAGGCAGCAGGGCAGGCAGTCCACCAGCTCAAAGGGAAAGCAAAGCCTTAATCTTTTAACACCATTTGGAGGAGACTCCACGCCCTCCCGAGGAGTGAGGTCCAGGGGCGTGCTCACAGCTCTCCACTGTTACTCAAAGTCATTTGAGGGACTGCAACAGGCAGGGAGGAGGAAGAAACACCAAGGCTGGGGATATAGTTGGTCAACTTAAAACGCAGCCTGAAATCTGCCCACTGTCCCACCCTTGCAAAATTCAGTCTCTCTCCTCAAATGAGGACACCCAATTGTAAGTAGAACGACCCCTCTGGGCACACACATCTGAACACATGATTCCTAG